ATTGAATACTGGAGCCAGAGAACACATATGCAATGAGCTAGCCTTATCCTTACCCTTTAAATTCTTATGTTAAAATCCTAACCTCCAATATAGTGGTTTAGGGGATGGGGTCTTTGAGAGGTAAACTGGGTTATGAGAACAGAGCACTCAAGACTAATTGTAAAAGGGACCTTAGAAATCTGTCATTTTTCAGAACATGCAATATAACCAGAAATCAGTAATAAGCAACCAGAAAAAGGTCCTCCATCAGTACTTGTTAGGTACCCAGTCTATAGTACTTTGTTATTGAAGCCTCAAACTACTAAAACAACCTTCCACATTAAAAAAAATGGCCGGTATTATGCAGCAAACATAATCAGATTAAACAATAGTTCAGATTTTGGTTTAATGGAACTCCCATTCCAAAATGGCTTGTATATTTCTAGAAAATACTTCACTGTTGTCAGGTCTTAAAGTGAACCTAACATCTCACATCTCCAGTTTAAGCCAAAATTTTGGTAAATCTAGCTGGCAGATTCAGCTTGATAGATGCATAGACTTGTTAGAGTAAATACACTTCATGAGTTTATTTAATTCAATGTTGTAGTCTTTCTAGAAATAATATTTTTAGAAGTCTGGTACTACGTGCAGTTGTAAAACTTTTTTAAAATGTCAAGCCCAGAAATGTGAGCTTTTTATTAGCAGTGGTCTGGTAAGAATGATACATTCATATTATAATAGGCATATATGTGTCTAAACAATGCATACAACTTCCAAATGTATAAAACTTTTTTATCCCATTACCTTTTTGTTGTTGTTGTTTTTGTTGTTGGTCATGGGGCTTAAATGCTGGACCTGGGTGCTGTTCCTGAGCTCTTCAGCTCAAGACAAGCGCTCTACCACTTGAGCCCATAGCACCACTTCTGGTTTTCTAGTGGTTAATTGGAGATGAGTATCATAGATTTTCCTGCCTGAAGCTGTCTTTGAACTTTTTGGCAAATTAGACCTCTAAATGATATAGGTCTCTGAGTACATTTTTACAAAATGTTCATCTACACAATTTGGGGAGGTTAACAGTATCACATGTAAGTGAATCTTAATGTGAATTAGCACAATTTTATAAATGAAGAAAAAACATTTATGAATTAAAACTAAAACTTACTAGAGCACAGAGGGAATGATAAGACTAGCATCTTACTATTTATCAAAGATGGTAATACTTCATTTTTTGCCAATGAGAAATGTCTTTCATATAAAATCAGTTTGGTAGGGCTGGGAATGTGGCTTAATGGTAGAGTGCTTGCCTAGCATGCATGAAGCCCTGAGTTTGATTCCTCAGTATTACATAAGTAGAAAAAGCCAGAAGTGGTCCTGTGCCTTGAGCAAAAGAAGCTCAGGGATAGTGCTCAGGCCCTGAGTTCCCAGGACTGGCAAAAACAAAACACACACACACACACACACACAAAACAAACAAAAACTAGGTAAATTCCTTGTAAATTTCACAACTTAAACTTGTCATCAGATCAACCAACAGGAACCTATATAAGTTTCTGTGGAGAAAGTCTCTTAGGAAGACAGTAAACTTTGTCTCCCAGTGAATGATGGAAGGGCTAGTGAAATTAATCTATAGAAGAAAGTAGATTCACCCTTTGCTTTAGTGTCCTCTAGTGCCTTTTAAAATACTGAGCTTTTTTTAAGCACAGGAGTAACATATGTCAAGCTGCTTTCTTTTGGTTGCTGGGTACTTGGGCCTTCCTCTGAAAGTCTGTAAAGTGCTACTGCTGTCATTATTGAAGGTAATGTTTGAATATGTCCCTGCTCAATTTCTGGAAATTAGATTTCTATTCCTTTCTCCTGGGAAACAGCGTATCACAGAGATTCATCCTCAGAGCCGGGCAATTTGGTTCATGCCTACAATCCTGGTAACTTGGCTGAGATCTGAGGATTGCAGTTGGAAACCAGCCTGGGCAGAAAATCCTTGAGACTCTTAATCACCTAAAAAGCTGAAAGTTGAGCTGTGGCTCAAGTGGTAGGGCACTAGCCTTGACCAAAAATAAGCTCAGGGATAGTCCTAGGCTTTTGAGTTCAAGTCCCAGGACTAGGACCAAACAAACAAAAGTCACCTTCAGGTTATATTAACTGTTAATTCAGGTTCTAAATATCTTCTGATTTATTTATTTTGAACTTAAAAAAAGTTGAACGCTGAATAGCTTAGCAGAGGCCTCTATCATTTATCTTGTAATCAGAAGATTATACTCCTTTCTTTTCATCTTAGCTATGATCTGTGCAGTTAATGGCAAAAGATGGCTTGATCAGAGAGGGAGATCTCTATGTCCTTGAGATTTTCTGCATCCTGGAAATTAGGGAATTGTCTAGAAAAGGAATTGTGTAGAAAATGGTGAAAATACCGTTGAGAAGCTGCTTGTACAGCTTTATTAATGAAATAGTGATGATCTGACCTAATGTGAAAGGCACAGTTTATCCAATCAATCTCTGCATTATTTCAGCAATAATTAAACAGCATGTAAATTTCAATATGACTTTGTTTACTGAGTTTTTAAAATAAGACTAAACTGTAAAATAAAGTAATATACAAAAGAAAACTGGGTTCTACATAGGTGAATCATAACACAGCAAAGAAGTGTTCTTATTGAAGACAAGAAATGGTTAGCTTTTCTAAATGAGAAAATTTAGAAAATAAGTGTATATGTGTATATCTTTGTACTTTCGTATCTAAAGTATCAATATCAAATTGTTGGAGAATTATTTTATCTCAACTTTGTATTGTTTAGAGAGCTAGTCAAGTATAGAAATTGGAAGCATTATATGTGTTGTGAAGATTATTCCACAGGATTACTTCCAGAACTGAGTTATCTCTTTCCCTGTTCTAAGCTCACTAATAAGAAAATACTAAGACCTCAAGCTTGAAAGATTCAGATCCTTCAGATATTTTTTTCATCATAAAAATGGGGGGGGGACTTTTGGTGTTAGGAGGGTCTTAACAATAGCTTTACATATGCTAGTTGTAACCCTTCCTGGATTTACAAAGAGATCAGAAAAGAAAGCAAGCCTAGCAAAGGGTACTAAGTGAGAAACCTAAACACTGACCAGATAAAGAAGATCAAATGGGACTAATTTCAGAATAGTTTTTCTTGGCATACCTCAGTATGTTTTTATTTCAGGAATCATCTTTTTAAAAGTCCATAAAGAATGAAACTGAAGAATGTGAAGCAGCTTTTCTTCCCTTTATAAACCATTTCTCTTAAGGAGCTGTATAATAACCATCATTTTAGGAAGAAATTACTTTTAGACTAAAAGGAAATAATACGAAGTAATTAGTAATGAAATTGTATGAAGCAGGAACAAATATACCTCTATAAGAAATAAATTAGTATAAACTTTATTCAGAAACCATTAAGCTCCAGAAAGCTTAAAAATCTTTTCTTTTTGTTGGTCTTGGGACTTGAACTCAGGGCCTGGGCACTGTGTCTGAGCTTTCTGCACTCACCTAGCACTCTTATCACTTTGAGCCACAATGCCACTACAGTTTTCTGGTGGTTAATTGGATTTCCTTCCTGCACTGATTTCAAACCACAATCCTCAGATCTCAGCCTTCTGAGTAGCTAGGGTTACAAGTGTGAGCCACTGGTGCCTGGCCAAAAAAATAAAAAATCTTTTGACCTAAGAATTCTGAGAATGTATTGTAAGGAAAGAGCATAGATATAGAAAAGTGTTATAGACAAGCTTTTTTTTTTTTTTAAGAATTCTGAGAATGTATTGTAAGGAAAGAGCATAGATATAGAAAAGTGTTATAGACAAGCTTTTTTTTTCCAGACTTAGAAAATATTTATTAGTTGAAATACTGAGATTACATAATATGTGATAATACACACACACATATATATCTATATATGCATTTATATATGTACATATGTATATAGACTTGTATGTATGAAGATACATAGTATATAGAGAGAAGTAGAGAACAGAAACATGAATAGATAGTTTATAGATAATAGATATGCAATGATAGACAATAGATGGATAGATATGGATTCACAGAGCAATGCAAAATCTGAGTCATTCAAAATGCATGCACATGATTGCATTACACAAGTATGCAGTGATGTCACTTCTGATGTTCTGTGGTAAAATCAGATACATTGGAAGTAACTTTAAAGTAGGTTCTTTTAGAATTAGCTAGAATAAAAAGGGCAAAAACCGGGCGCCAGTTGCTCATGCCTACTCAGGAGGCTAAGATCTGAGGATCATGGTTCAAAGCCAGCCTGGCCAGGAAAGCCCATGAGACTTTTTTTTTTATTGTGAAAATACCGTACAGAGGGTTTACAATTACATGGGCAAGGTAATGAGTACATTTCTTACCAAGCATTGTTGCCACCTCTTTTGTTTTCCCTTCCCATCCCTTCCCATCTCACCCCTTCCCCCATCCTCCCCCTGTCCCCCATGCCAAAGTTGTAAAGTTCATTTTTTTTCTCTTTTTCTTTTCTTTTTTTACATTTCTTATCAAGCATTGTAGCCTCCTCCTTTGTTTCCACCTCTCATCCCTTCCCATCCTCCCCCCACCCCCTCACCCAATCCTCCTCCTCCCTTTCCCCCCTTACCCAATCCTCCTTCCCCCTCTCCCCCATGAAAGTTGTAAAGTTTTCGACATAACCACTTGTACATCTCATTGTTGCAATTAGACAAGCTTATAATGGAATTTTTTCTATTGAAAGGATAGCTACTCTGTTTAACCATAAGAAAATGGTCATGGGTGCTCCAGTCAACTAAACATGTGTAGCAATTGAGAATATTTAGTAGGTAAGTAAAGTAATAAGAACAATGCTTTTGTTAGAACTTTCATTGGTGAAAAAGGTGGAGCAGAGCATTTTATTCCATGCATACATGTAAAATACATGTATGCCTGGAAAAAATTGGGTAGAGGCAGTGATTATGTTTGGATGATAAAACTAACATTTTTTTTCCTTTCTTACTAAAAGTATCTTTTTTTTTTCTTACAGCTTTAAACATCAGTAGTAGTAAAATTTGTAAGCACTGATCTAAGACTTAGAAAGGAATATTGTCCAACATGGATTCTCTGCAAGAAGAATGTTTGGGGAGGTAAGGAATAGGTTGATAAAAATCAACTGAATTTTCATAGTACAAGGACACATTTGATTTTTCCACATAACCTGGAATGCTGTTATGATTGTAATACCCCTCTGCTTCAAAACAGTTTAGCATCATCGATAGTGGAGAGTGTGAAGTAGATGAAAAGTCCTCTATATACTGGCTAAAGAGCTAAGAATTGAACAGTATACTACATATGGTATTTTCATCAAAATACTATTTTAAAAAGAACTTACATAGAATTACTATGTAAAAGATGATACTTTGAATGTTTTAATGCTAATTTATATAACCCTCAATGCTGTAAAGTAGATGTTCTTTATCACAATTTTACAGAGCTTAACTTAAGCATACACATAATTAGGATTTTTTTGGAGGTAGGCCAGTTTAATTTTTGTTTTTCTTCCACACATATAAAACAGCACATCAACTTTCATTTTATTATTATTTTTTAATTTTATTTATTTTTTTTAGTCGGTCCTGGGGCTTGAACTCTGGGTCTGAGTGCTGTCCCTCAGCTCTTCAGCTCAAGGCCAGTGCTCTACCACTTGAGCCACAGCGCCACTTCTGGTTTTCTAGTGGTTTATTTGAGATAAGAGTCTCACTTTCCTGCCTAGTCTGGCTTTGAACCTCGATCCTCAGATCTCCACCTCCTGAGTAGCTAGGATTACAGGCATGAGCCACTGGCACCCAGCTTAGTTTTTTTATTGGCATATATTAAGGATTTAGCCTAACTTTTCATTAACTGGAGTCCCTATAGATATGTGAAAACTACTATCATTATTATTATTAGAAATGCATTACTATCATTCTGAGACTTTCAGACAAAAATCCTAATTATATTTTTCATTGCTTGTTACCTTTATGAGAAGATTATTTTTAATACACCTCTGTGTTTCATTTAAAGTAGGGATACTGCTGAGGAGGAGCAGATTAAGGAAGAAATGGAAAATAAAGTAGAAAAATCAGCCAGTGAAATGGTGAGATTAATCTTAATTATTATCAACTTTTAACTTTCAGTAAATTTACAATTACATAGTATAAGTATAATTATATCGGAGGATGTAATGTTAAATCTAATTAACTTATTAAAAATTCTAAAAAGTTACATTCTACTTTATTACTTAAATTGATCATAATCAAATCTTCCATAGACCAAGATTTTCATTCAAAACACCAGTTTTTACTTGAAATTAGAGTTATTAAAATTTAAATTGATTCACCCACAAACATGTCTGAAACTATTGCTAATAAACAATCCATTAGGGCTTTACGATATAGTTGTCATTAACTATTATATATATGACTGTACTCACTATATAAATAACAATTCTTGAAGTTCCTAGATTACTGATAATTTATCTCTTTCTGAATCATGATATCATTTTATTTTTGTTTACAAATTAAATTCTTTATTCTTGTTCAAATTGCTATGGGTTTTGTAGCTGAAATATCAATCATGCCCAGTTAGTCCCTTTCAATTAGACCTAGAAGTTCTAATAGCGAAGATAATAAAATGGATAAAAATATTAACTTCAGAAACTACCCAGTGAAACTTTTTAATAAATAATATTCTATATGGGTGTGTGTTTTGCATATATGTATGTTTGTGATATGCCAAAAGACAAATAAGGAAGTTTGGTGGGGTTGCTGAGTTGTAGTGTTCACTAGTATAGATTCCTTCCAGGAAAGGAAAGGAAGGGAAAGGGGAAAGAGGAAAGGAGAAAGGGGAAAAGAGAAAAGAGCAGAGGAGAGTAGAGGAAAGGGAAAGTAAAGGAAGAGGAGGAAAAGAGAGGGGAGGTGAAAGGGAGGGAGGGAGGAAAGATAGAAGACAACTGAGATTTTTTTTGTTTTGTTTTTGGTCAGTCATGGGCCTGAACTCTGGGCCTGGGCACTTCCCTCAGCTCTTCATCTCAAGGCTAGCGCTCTACTATTTGAGCCACAATGCCACTTCCAGCTTTTTCTGCTTTTGTGGTGCTGAGGAATCAAACCCAGGGCCTCATGCATGCAAGACAAGCACTCTACCACTGAGCCACCTTCCCAGCCCACAAGTGAGATTCTAGATTTATGTTAGTATGTAATCTCTATAATAGCAGTTACTTGATACTTTATTATTTGTATTTTATAAGTCTATATAATAGGAACTTCTTTTTAAAACACCTTTGCTGGTTTTCTTCATAGAATATATTGTGAATATAATTGTGTAAAATTTTAATTTTTGTTTGTCTTATAGGACAAACAGAAACAGGACATAGCTACTGATCTTATCCCTATTAACCTGCTATTTGAAATGAAGAAGTTATTAAGTGCAGTTAGTACTCTACCAAAGGGTGTGGTTCCCCACATTAAGAAGTTTCTACAAGAAGATTTTTCATTCCAGTCTATGCAGGTAACATTATAATTTGTTTATGGGACAGAAGTGTAGTCCTCTACATACAATACTTTAAAACTATATAGTATCCTAAAATATAAGGTCCTAAAATATCTATCTTACTTTTTGTCAAGGGCTTCAATGTCAACTTTGAGTAGATTTTTTTTAATGAACTAAATAGAATAAATTGTACTAACTTCTTAAGAATAATAATAGGAATGCATTTCATAGCTTTGGACTATAAAGTCTAAGATTCGTTTCAGTTCCACAAACACCTATAAATGTTCTAATATGGGAAAAGGAATGCTTTTGTTTTTCTCATTCATAAATTGTTGACAACATTTTTCAAAAAAGTAAGATTAAAAATAATATCCAAAACTTTTGGATTTATTAGTAAATTAAATATTCTAGAGTATATATTGTAAGTTTCATGAAACAAATAGTTTTTCAGATGATAATTTGTGCTGACTTCCAATATAGTAAGAGAACTATTTCTTAAAATTGAAAGAAGTATTCCACTCTTTTTTATAACACTTAATGGGTGGTCAGGACAAGACAATATATTTGTTTGAAAGGACTTTGTTTGCCTTTTTTGTGGAAAAAGTACATCATTAATAAAAGTTTTTCATGAAACCAAATAAGAATTCAAACAAAATGAAAATTTCAAACTCTATAGTAAACTACCGTATGATCCTACCACCTTTGGTCCTTTTTGAGGTTGAATATAGCCTAAAGTTTTTTGTTCTACAAGGGTTAAAAGGCCATTGCTAAAAAGATTGGGCTTGTTATATATAATTATAACCTTGACTGAGATAATTTGCAATAGTAGAGATGAATTCTAGCTTGAATTGAATAATGCCTCCATTTTCCTTCATATATTTCCTTTATATATTAGAATTCACCTAGATACAGCTAAAAACAGAAATTGGTAGCCTGGAACTCAGGGCCTGGGCATTGTCCCTGATCTCTTTTGCTCAAGTCCAGCACTATAGCACTTTGAGCTATGGCTCTACTTGTGGTTTTCTGGTGGTTAATTGGATATAAGATTCTCACGGACTTTTCTGCTTAGGCTGGCTTTGAACTGTGATCCTCAGATCTCAGCCTCCTGAGTAGCTAGGATTACAGGCATGAGTCACCAGCACCTAGCAGTGATAAGAATTTTTTAAACCATGTATTTCCAAATTTTCTACAAAGGGCATGCATTTTGTTTAATATAAATACATGTATGTAACTGTTCTTAGAGAAAATTTTAACTAAAATTATTTTCAACAGAGAGAAGTTACAGACAACAACCAGAATGGAGAAGAAATTGTTCCTGCTTTAACTTTACGTTTTTTGATAATACAACTAGAAATAGCACTTAGGAACATCCAAGCCACGAATTATACTGTAAGTGTTTTTGCTTTGAAAGTTTGAAGTAATAGACTTAGGCAATACTTTTCAATGAGAAAATACCATTGATCATCTATTTAAATTTTCTGCTTTTCCTCTAGAGAAGGTTAAAAATAAATTTATAGTCTTTTTTTCTGCTTTCTAGTATGGCTGAGTCTCTGTAATAAATTTATTCTAGTTTCCTTCCCTACCAAAATTATTCATCTTAAGTTCAGAGAAACTTGAATTAGGAAAATTGGGCTTTCTGAATTAAAAATGGGGAGTATTCAATTTCAAACTACATGTCAGACATAGAGAAATGCTGCATATTAGTTATATGTGAAATCAAAAATATTGGAATCATATTAAGTAGAGAGCAGAATATTGGTAATTCAGGGTTAACTGGGCTGTTGGCCAAAGGATACATTTCATGTAAAGAGAAAGGATAACTTCAGTACATGAAGAGTTCAAGTCCAATGACCAACAACAACAACAACAACAAAAGCATAAAAAGTAGCTAAAGACACCAAATTCCACATTATAATGGTGTATGAGGAACTTTAAAAAACAATCCTATTCTCAGGTCTAGAATTTTAAAGAGCATTATACTGTACTCTTAAGGAGGAGGGTTCTATGTAGATATAAAAGCACAATGAAAGGAAGTTTGTAATTATCCCAGAACTTCTGGGGTGCCTGCATGCCTAGTTTTTCCCTCATGAGATTTTATAATATAGATTTCATTATAAAATCTACATTAACAGTTGCCTAAAGCTTAACTTTTTCTAGTTAGGTGTTATTTTACAGATGAATCTGTAGACAAAAATGGAAGATCTCTCTCTGTCTGTAGCATTTGTAAGCATCGTTGGGATTGTCATAAGCCAAATAGCCTACTTCTATATCCAAATGTATCTCTTTGTCCCAGAGGCTATCAATAGGGGCGAGACCACCTTTTAGGAGGCAGTTGTGGGTTGGAGGGTAGGTGAGATATATGCACCAACATCTCTATATCCATTTCTAATGCTTGAAATCATCTTTTCTAACGAGGTTAAGATGGTGAGGAAAGGCTTGTATCATTAAATTTCCAGAGGATTATTTTTTGTTGTTGTTGTTTGCTCTTTTTTATATTCGAATTATAACATTACCACAACTCTGCATTTTCTCTTGTTTTCAAGAATGTTTCTCTTAAATTTTTCTAAACCACGGACTTGGAATGAAGCTGGGTTTTTTGTTTGTTTTTTAAGAAAAAATACAAAATAATATCTCACTTAGTGTTTGTTTAGCATGAAAACACTTTTCTCCATAATTGAAAAAAATTCATTTTGATATAGATTCACAAAATTACCACTGTAAAATACAAAAGTACGTACAGAGATCTAGGTGCCTTTTCCCAGTTCCCTCAATAACTACATCTGTACTACAGTACTTTATCAAACTCAGATATTGAAAGTGGCACAACTCTCATGTTAAAAGATTTAATAGAAGGACTACAATCAGCAGAGTGTATTCATGGCCAAAATTTATTTACTTTGGAATGACATAGTAAAGATACAAAGCAGATCATAAGGGAAAAGACCCGTGGGATCTGAAAGGATTTATTTATAGTTTTTTTTCATGTTTTCTCTTCTGATAAGGATTCACATAGGGTAAACTGCCTCTCCTCCCATCCTCTTCAACCAAAATGTAGTACATGTGTATAGTTTCAGTTCTGGGTAAGCCATTAGAGACTCAGTGTTCCACATTTTTCTTGGTACTTGTTTATTAGCTATATACTAAAATTACAGACTATGAGAAGAATCTCTCAGGTATTCAGCATAAATTGTATTGTTTGAGCAGATAATCTAAGCACAGTGAGCCAGTTAGACATAGACACAGTTAGAGAAGATTGGAATTTCGACCAAAATGTGGACACCTTCCAAATTTTATCTTTGTGGGCAGGGAGATATAGCAGTCTCAGGTAAACTTCATTAATTTTTTTATGAACAGGTATGTATCGTTTTTTGCCATTTTATCATAATGTAACCACTAATAAAATAAAATAAATGTCTCCCTCACGCTTCCCTTGTCATATTTACCACTTCTCTCTTCCTCTCCCCTTCTCTTATCCTTAAGCAATTATCATCCCCATAGCTTTATCTGGATTTTACTTAAATGAATGAAATATATACATTTTAATTTTTCATTGATATACTTTATTCTTATACTGTAATAATAAAGCCCTCCTGTGGATAGTAAAATACTTTTATTTGTGATCATATTTTTAAAGTGCTTTGTATATACTTGGATACTCATTATCTAAAGTGTTCTCAGTGCCTCAAATATTACAAAATAAGGGGGAGAAGTTTTTGAAAAGATTGACAAATTTTGATTGTATGTGTTTTTATTTTCTTAAGTCAAATTACTCTTCTGGAACAATTTGCCAAATGTATCTAAAATGCTTCTCTAGTTATTGAATAATAGGTGGCAAAAGAATTTTTACTATTTTCAGTTATTAAGTGGAACAGGTTATTTAACTATTACTGAAAAGTAGCTTGGTCTAAATTATTATGGGGCTGGGAAGGTAGCTTATTATAGAGCGCTTGCCTTGCATGCATGAGGCCCTGGGTTCGATTCCTCAGCACCCCACAAGCAAAAAGAAAACAAAAGCCGGAAGTGGCGCTGTGGCTCAAGTGGTAGAGTGCTAGCCTTGAGCTGAAGAGCTGAGGAACAGCACCCAGGCCCAGAGTTCAGGCCCCACGACTGGACCCAAAAAATAAAAAATAAAAAAAAGTAAATTTTTAATATCTTTTTCATTATAGGCACATCAAATTAATATTGGTTATTATTTGACATTATTGTTTTTGTATGGGGTAGCACTCACCGAAAGAGGAAAGAAAGAGGTATGTTGCTGCTTTTTTTAAACCTTTAAAAATTGAAAGCATCCAATTAGTTTTCTGTCCTATATTTATAATACTGAGTAAGCTAAAGATTATATTATAAAACTAAAGACAAAGAAGAAGCTATTAATATTAGCTTATAACTTAGATGATTTAACTTCATATTCTTAAAATGTCCTTAATTTAACTTTGAAATGTTTATTATTTGTGTTAAACAAAAAGTTGTTTAACTTCTTTTACTTATGTAATACACTTCAATATGTTTTTTAGTGTAGCTTACTTTCTCTGGTCTTAATCTTACAGTTTGGTAAAATATGAGTTTTACTTCAGAAATTTTTTTAATGCTGGTTTTAGGGTTTGAATTCATGACCTGGGCATTCTCCCTGAGCTCTTTTGCTCAAATCAGAGTGCTCTGTTACTTGAGCTATAACTCCACTTCTGGTTTTGTGGTGGGTAATTTGGAGATAGGCTGGCTTCAAACCATGATCCTCAGATCTTAGCCTCCTGACTAGCAAGGAGGTGTGAATCATGTGTACCCTGCCTTACCTCAATTGTTTGAAAACTAAGGTGAAGTACAAAAAATTAAAATACTGAAGTTAACTGTTTGTTTGAATTTAACATTGTCTTGTTCCCAATCTATTCTCTACTTGGTTTCATAAACTAAGTTTACAAATACGATTTGTTAAGTGAAGTAACATATTATTTTTCATTTTAAACAATTTCATATAATACTAGTTTGTTTTTAGTGAGATGTGATAGACAATATTTTAAAACAAGGCCATACAGCATTTTTTCAACTTTTTTTGGAGAGATTAATGTCATATGCCTGTTTAATTACTTATTACTAAACATCTGTTAGAACTGATCCAGATTTTTACTTCTAAATCTATATTGTTTGTGATCAAGATGCTACTTCCACAAAAGGAATTATATGCATGGTCAAGACATCTTACTATTATTTCTTGGAAAAATAGCAAAAATTTTGCTGTGATTATAAAGAAAAATAAGACCAGGTCTGGTGGCTCACATCATTTAATTCCAGCTATTCAAAAGCTGGATATTATAAGGATTGCGGTTTGAAGCCAGCCCAGAGAAAAAGTTAGTGTGATGTCACCTTAACAAATAAACCTGGTATATTGATATAGGTCTATAATTCCAGGTGTGTAGTAGGCATGATGAGAAGATTCTAGTCTGAGGCTTGTTAGAATAAATCAGAGCCCTTATTTGGAAAAATAACCTAAAACAAAAAGTACTGGGGTCATAGTTCAAGTAATAGAGCACTTGCCTAAAAAGCACAAGCTCTTATCCCCCAAATTCAAACACCAGTACCACCAACAAAAAAGAAAGAAAGAAAGAAAATGAAAAATAATAAAAAAAATTGTGCTCCTATAGTCATCAGAAAACTTTTATTTCAGCATTCTATTGCCAGATTTATATATATAAATTGTTGTTTTTATGCTTTCATTTTGAGACATTTGTAGAACTTATGATTGAAGGTCCTGAGTTTTTTGGAAACAAATATTTTAAAATCAAGTACATTATCTTTGTGATCACACACAAGGATGCTGAGATTTAGAGATATAACCAGTGGACTAGATCATCACCTGCCTTAGTTTCCTCAGCTTGGGAAAGAATTGTTTATTGTAAACAGAATGTTTTTCATACCAACCAAACCTAGTTGTGTGTTATTGCAGGATTTTACAGAAGCTGAGAATAAATTTCTGGTAATGAAGATGGTGATCCAAGAAAATGAAATTTGTGAAAATTTTATGTCTTTAGTTTATTTTGGGCGTGGATTGCTTCGGTGTTCTCAGAAGAGGTAAGGATTTTATTTATGGACAGATCTTCATTCCCAACTGGTAATAGGTAAAGTAAGAATCAAGCTTAAATACTGCTGTAGGGATCATGAAATTGTACTCTTGGACTGTGCCTGTCTTCATCTTCTCTAGATGATAATTCACTAAAATACATTAATTTTTAAAGTGTTTTAACATTTATAAATATATAAAATTTACATAAAACATATATACATAACATTGTTTATGTATAAAAATGGCACTAACACGCATCTAATATTGACAATGTAGCTTTTGGAGTCTGACAGACCTGAATTCAGACACATTTTCTATCACTCATTCTAAGGAAATATCATTAAGCTCTATTTTGTTTTCTTATCACTAAAATGTAACTAATAATGGCACTCATCTCATAAGGATGTCATAGGTAAATAACAATTATGATAGAAAAAATGAAATATTTAATAAATAAATGGTGCTGTGCATTGGTGGCTCACACCTATAATCTTAACTCAGCTAGATCTTACGGTTATGGTTCCAAGCCAGCCCAGGAAGAAAATGAACTCCCAGTGAACTCTTACCTCCAGTTAATCACTCAAAGACCAGAAGCAGCATTGTGGTTCAAATCTTAAGAGTACTAGCCTTGAGGACAAAGAGGCTCAGGGACAATGCCCAGGCCCTGAATTCAAGTCTTACAACCAACCAAACATACATACATACATACATAAAATAAATGGGGTTAGGCATGCCTATAATCTCTAATCAGGAGGCAGAGGGACCCTAAGTTTAAGCCCCCAGTATCTTACACACACACACACACACACACACACACACACACACACTGAAACCTAAACAAATTAATGATGATTGTAGTTATTAACATTACTGCCACTGGTTTCTATGTTCTTTTTTTTTAAATAGGAAATGACCTTATAAAAAGTTGAAAGGGAGCTTGATATGGTAGCTTGATACAGCAATGTGGTAGGGACAGAAGGATTACAAATTTATGGCCATCCTTGATGACATAGTGAATTTGAGGATAGTGTAGATGATAAACTGTCTTAAAATGAGCAAATAAAGAAAATATTTGAAAAGTCTAGTACTAGATATTACCTATTTTAAGACCAAAAAATTGTAGAGAAACCTATATAATGTGTTTACTTCCTATAAAGACACTTCAGCATTTTTAGCATCATTCATTCATTTCTTTACTATTTATCATATTTCAGAGATTATGCTGGATGTTGGGAATACAATGGTTTGTAAAATTGACTGTTTTTATTTTAATGTTACAGACAGTGTGGTAAAAGATGTAGCTCTTAACCAGATAGTTAAAATACTCAGTTATGAAATGTGATAAGTAATAAAAGACCACAAATAAAATATGGATAATCTAAATTTTCACTGAAGCAATCTAGTAATCCTCATTTCAGATGTCTGAGCCTATTCATTCCTTATTAAAGCCAAGATTTTAGAATAATAATCCTGTTGAGTTGTACATGTGATCTCTTTTGTGACTAAATCCTGAGCCTCAGTTTTAGTATTTCTAGAGAAGTATTTCTAGCTTTTACAGAGTATCCTAGGTTGATAGTTGTAGCTCATTAAGGCTCTACATTTGCTCATATTTGTGGTTTGTTCCACCTTAAGAATAAACCTGGTCCTTAACTTTCACCACAGATGGATATAGGAGATGAACGTTTCTGTCATTAAAGCCTCTGGCTTTCACAGTGTATACTAAATTAATAGTTGCTGACTTGTATCTGACATTCTTTTTTTTTTTCAAGATTTACACCACAGTTAACAAAAGCCAACTAAGGTTACAACCTGCCTAATTATCATTAACCCCCATACTGTTCACACTTGAGCTACTTCATAATCTATTACTACCCCTTCCACCATCCCAGTCTGAAAGTCATGATGCTCATATTTCATGTTTTGTTGGGAAGTTAACACCATCCATCACACCACTAAAAATTAGGTTATTCCCTTATTGATAAATAAATTATGTAGTACCAGAGTCTCAACTCAGATAACCTTATATTAATATATCTTGCAGATATAATGGAGGGTTGCTAGAATTTCACAAAAGCTTACAAGAAATAGGAGATCCAAATGATCAGTGGTTTGACATAGATCCTACAGAAGATGAAGATTTACCTACATCTTTCAAAGTAAGAATTTTTAAGAATAATATTTCATCTGTAACTAATGAGACCCATCTTTGGTAAAGTATTGTTTAAACCACCTCTATTGTATTCCACAACAAGCACATTCCTTTACGACAATTAGTTTTTTATATAAAAAACAGCCCAGATTTTATTACCTACTGTACAATATGAATAAAATACAACAAAAAAGTGAGGGACCAGTGTCATCGGTTTCAAATAACAAGTCTATAGCCTTTCTAGCTCAGTAGTTCTCATATTAGTGTCAAATGTACTAAAGTAAAAAAACAAGTTAGTTTTGTATTTTCTAATTATATTTACTAATATTTTGTTATTAATTACAGTGAACTAAACACTGCTCAGATTTCAACCCTTGATGCCAGCCTCCCACCAAAAGATAGACAAAACTAAAAGGAGAAATTTAAATATTTCCAAATATAAGAACTATTGTGTTAATACCCTTTTCAGTTATCAATAGACTATCCTAATATCTTTTGGCATCATCAAAATAGTCATGACTCTTAACTTGAGTTACTAAAGTAATAATCTTGCATATTTTTAAAAGTTTTGGATTTCTACACCTATCTAAAGCAGTCCCTACTTTTCAATTTTGTGCTCTTTTTTCTTCCTCCTTTTAAAATATTTTTATCATCCAAACTTTTTATTGAATTTTTATTCAGTGTGAAGTGTAATGTATATATGTTGTTTTTCATAAAGCATTAAAAGACATCATTAAATGTTCTTGCTCCATAATTTCTAATTTAAATTCCTGACTATCATTTAAAAAGTCTTAGGCATTGTCTTGTCATTCTAGTATGGACCATGACAGTTTAGCTCTTACACGAAGTCATCTCTCACATGCACATACACACACACACACACACACACACACACACACACACACACACACACACACACACACACACACACAACTTCCCCCATCTTACCTGTAATTTTAAATTTTTATTAAATTGTTCTAGTGCTGAGAATTTCCTGTACTTCTCTACTGTTTAAATCCTGTCTCAATCTCAAGTTTTCCTCTTTCTAGATTTGCTCCAGTTTTTTTTGGCAGTACAACTTCTCTAGCTGTTTCTCTTGAGTGCTTACTTGGGAAGTAAATTTTTTTAGTTCTTTCAAGTCTCAAAATTATGTGTTTTATTTATATCTTGTCTTGGTGTAGAATACTGAAATTAAGTTTCCTTTCTCTCAAAAAATGTTTCTGGGGGGCTGGGATGTGGCTTAGTGGTAGAGTGCTTTCCTTGCATGCATGTAGCACTTTCCTTGCATGCATGTAGCACTGTGTTCGATTCCTCAGTACTTACACATAAACAGAAAAAGCCAGAAGTGATGCTGTGGCTCAAGTGGTAGAGTTCAAGCCGCAGGATTGGGAAGAAAAATGTTTCTGGGGATGAATGAAGAGGAGTTAATGTAGTGTATATCCTACAGAATTAAGAAAATTGAACTGAAGGATAAGGTTAGGAGGGATGGGGGAGAATGATGAAAGGAGACGACTTTGATGAAAATACATTGTAACCCTTAACTGTTTTCTTGAATGATTTAAAAATGTTTATAGATTATTTTCAACTTTTAATCTTTTAAGAAATTTCAAACCATTCTGAGCTAAGTCTTTTATATGTGATTTGTTTTTATCTTTTGCTTTCCATTTTCTTTTTTTTTTTTCTTTTGCCAGTCCTAAGGCTTGAACTCAGGGCCTGGGCACTATCCCTGAGTTTCTTTGTGCTCAAACTGACATTCTACAACTTGAGCGACAGCATCACATCTATTTTTTTTTTCTGAGTAATTTAGTGAAAATAAGAGTTTCATGGACCTTCCTGCCCAGGCTGGCTTCAAACTGCAGTCCTTACATCCTGAGCTCCTGAGCAGCTGGAATTACAGACACGAGCCACCGGTGCTTGGCTCCATGTTCTTCCTGGGAATTTTTAAGGATATTTTCTCTGTCCCTAGTATCCTGAACTTATGATTCTGGTTCTTGGACAATTTTTTGTTAGATACATGTATTTAACTTTTTTATTTTTTTCTTTATGGAGTACTTATTATTTAGATGCTTTGAACACTGGACTGATTCTCAATATATTATTGCTTTTGTATTTTTAGTTATTTGTATTTTTGTATACCTTCTGATAAATTTTCTCAGTTTTGTCTTTCTGCATTTCTCTAATATTCATAAAATAACCAAGGGTGTTATTTTTCATTTTAGAATATTTTTCATATTAGAATATTAGTGGTACCATTTGAAATTACGTGATCCTCTTATAAAGGTGAAATATTAAAACCATTGTCTAATTGCCAAAGTTAGACATGTTTTTCATTTACATTTAATGAACATGTTAAAATAAAAAATTGTATTATTTGTATCTTTTTTCTTTTCATGTATTTTTATTGTTACTATAAATGTGATGTACAGAGGAGTTACAGTTACCTAAGTCAAATAAAGAGTGCATTTCTTTTTGAACAATGTCACCCCTTCCTTGTCTCAGTTTTTCCCTCTCATTTCCATCCACAAATTGTATTGTTCATGTTCAACATAGTGTCTAGCAAGTACAACTGAAATTGTTTGTTCCACCACTGGAAACATACTTACATATTTTCATACTGTACTTTTGCCTGTATTTTGCCACTGTAGTGTGTGTGTTACCTGTTATTACTGTGTCCAGCAGCCAATTGTGATATAGACTTCTCTCCTTTCTCCATGTTTGTATCATTCAGTAAGGAACCTATTGTTACTAGTTTAGAGTCTTCCTTTATATTTTAACTTTGCATGAGGGAAATATGTTCCTTCTAAAATATGTGATATATCGGGGCTGGGAAGGTGGCTCAATGGTAGAGCTCTTGCCTTGCATGCATGATGCCCTGGGTTCAATTCCTCAGCACCACATAAGCAAAAAGAAAAAAGACGGAAGTGGCACTGTGGCTCAAGTGGTAGAGCGCTAGCCTTGAGCTGAAGTGCTGAGGGACAGCGCCCAGGCCCAGAGTTCAGGCCCCACGACCAGACCCCAAAAGATAAATAAATAAAATAAGTGATATATAAATATGTATGTATATATAACAATAGATATATTTAAGTCCTTCAGAAAGTGAAATGATATCAACGCATTTTTATATATGTAAACATTGGAAGCATTACTGTCCCGATTTATTAATTCATGAGAATTCTTTTATTTTTCAAATCTAGGATCTTCTCAATGATTTTATCAAGACTACTGAAGATAATATAATGAAACAGACAATATGTAGTTATTTAGATTGTGAGAGATCTTGTGAAGCTGACATTTTAAAGAACACCAATTATAAGGTAATATGATTATCTTAGTATTTTTAAATGTAATTAAAATAATTAAACTTAGATAAAATTATTAGATTATTATAGATCAAAGTATTATTTTGGGGATAGGTTGTGGCTTAGTAGTAGAGCACCAAGAAATTACATGTTTAGTATGTAATGTCTTAGATTCCATCTCCTAAACCTACCAAAACAATTAAAGTGAGTCTTCAATTTCAGTGGCAATGCAATTGAAAAGTTGTTTGTCTGAAAACTTAGTTTCAGATTAATTATGCATATTCTATGAAACAATAAAATTTACTTTAATAATGTTTTTATAACATTTACATGGTTCTGAAGTTATGACTCCTGTCCCTTCTATTATGTAATGAAAATAATCTAATTGTTTTCCTTATACTTAGAAATGTGTAGTTGAATTTCATAAGAACAAAGGTCATCAATTCAGGATTTACGTTACTAAATAAATTATTACTTCCTCTTGAATAGAGAGAAATTAAATATGAGAATGCTGATTATTTTGATCTCTGCAGATCAAACTAGATCTCTCTGGCTCAATCAGAATATGACTGTGTGAAATCACAAGATTAAGAAGATGTGACTATCAAGCCTGGTTTGCTTACACCTTTAGTCCTAACAGTTACTCAGGAAGCTGAAATCACAATGGCTAGAGTAGGCAAAAAGTTCTTGATCCCCCATCTTAGTCAACAAAAACTGGACATACTGGTATGTGCCTCTCATCCCAGCTAAGTAGGAAATGTAAATAGGAGATCATTGTCCAGGGGAAGGTCAAGAGCTATTCACTATGATAATACAGGGATTGGTAACTAACTGTGCCTAATAAGGTTCAATGCTCAGGCTCAGGTATGGTCAGTATTGATTTTGGTGACATGGTAATGTAGGTCTAATTTATTTAGAAAGGCTGCAGAGTTCCAATCAATTGCACATTCTACAACAATAGGAAGTTCTGTGTGTAGAGCTTTTTGTACTTGTTTAAAGGAAACCAGCCTATGATTTGCAGAAAACGCTAATAGTAGAACAAAGAAATCAACTTCCTGGTATAGCACAGAAGCTTAAGAAGCATCTGTAATCTATGGAGCAAACCTGATCTTTGTGATAGGTAACAGAGGAAATTCAAACAGTATGAGTAGGGAACTAGAGATGGAAGAAAAGCAAAATGAGGTAGATGGAGAGATAATAAATGGCATGTTTTATAAAAATCACTGGATTTCTGCTGATATTTTTCCAACACGCAGAGAATAATTCATTGACTATTAAAGTCATTGGCTTTTTTTTTGACTGCCCTTATGTTCTGTCTTTCATGATTAAAAAGGGCACCAAAATGTCTTTGATGGTTTATAATCTCAAGTGGTAAATTGTGCATGCTTTGTAAAGCCCATCAGCTATAGAATAATTACAAAACTGATTTGAACTAGTATTTTTTATGTCTATATGTTACCTTTTCTATATCAATAGCTTGTTTTTATTTTTTTTCAAGGGATTTTTTCAGTTAATGTGCAGTAAAAGTTGCTGTGTTTATTTCCATAAAATTTGTTGGAAAAAGTTCAAGAGTTTAAAATATCCAGGTGAAAATGATCAGGTATTCCCTCTATTTCCTTTTCTTAAAACTGCTACAGCATGCTTTCCTCTTTCCCCCATGTCTTCCAGTTTATTTCTTCCTATTCACATATTCTTTCCTCCCTTTTTCTTTCTCAACTCTACCTGCTTATCTTCCCACAACTCATCATTTATTATCATTATTTATTAAATATCTTTTTAGGGAATACTATGGTAGTTTGTATAGTATAGTGATTTTTATCAGTTTATTCATCTGCCTTTAAAAGCTTATACTCAGGAATAGAATAATGCTTCATATTCACATAAAGGATATAGAACCAAATAATATAATTTCATGATAAACACATGGGAAGGATAATTATACAAATTTAGGAGTAATTTCTATTTTAGGGGAGGAGAATAAGAACAAATCTTTATTTTTTAAGTTTTTATTTATTTTTGGCTTTAATTATTCATATTTTGTATATTAATCATAATAAAAGAGGGTTTTTTTCCCAACTAAAATTGAAATGGAAAGCCAAATTATTCTTTAGTGAGCTAAGTTGGTCCATAATATTCAGTTCTATAGCACTTACATTGTATAAACAACAGTGTGACCCTATAAAGAATTGTGATTTAGTATAAAGTGCATTGGATATGGAGTTGGGAGTTCAATTCAAATTGAGGCCCCTACTAATTTTATTATATTAGTCTGGTTATGTACTCTGAGACTAATTTTTCTAATCTCTAAAATAAAAATAAGATTGACCTACCTTAAAGGGTTGTTGTGAAAAATAACCAATAAGTTAACTGTAATAGTGAGCTGTATAGGTACTCATATAAGACATTGTTTCTTATTGGTAATTGGTCTATAAATCCTTTTCAGTTTCTTTGTGCAATATTGTTCAGTTTGAATGAAAAATAAAAGAAAGTAATTCAATCAGAGAAAACAAAATCAGAATCAGAGGACTCAGTATTTTCATTCTTCCTTTTGCTCTGGAATCCTTAAGTAACTATAGAATTTCACTATTTTAAAAATACTTCATTACTATATACTACTTAAAATCACTCTCTCTGAAGCAGCAAATGTATTTTAGCCTGTAATATAACTTGATAAAGAATTTGAAATAGAAATTATTAGAGGAAGCCGGGTGCTGGCATCTCACTCCTATAATCCTAGCTACTCGGGAGGCTGAGATCTGAGGATCTCGCTTCAAAGCCCGCCTGGGCAGGAAAGTCCGTGAGACTCTTATCTCCAATAACCACTAGATAACCGGAAGTGGCACTGTGGCTCAAGCAGTAGAGCGCTTGCCTTGAGCTGAAGAGCTGAGGGACAGTGCCCAAGCCCAGAGTTCAAGCCCCACGACGGTCCAAAAAAAAAAATTAGTAGAGGATAAGTAAAGTTACACATTTTAAGTAATATATCAACTGATACATGAAATTGATAGAACTGCTGACCCTCAAATATTTACACATCTATAAGTTAACCAGGTAGCAACCCTTACTTCTAAATTCTTTTATGTAAATGTGCTCAGGTTGACACAATACTTCCTTTCATTTTATTATTTTTTATTAATAACTTTAGAGTTTCAGTGGGAAAAAATGTTTGAAAGAGGGATGTCCAGGTGACATGGCAAGGATGCTGCAGTGTGATGTACCTGGAATTGTTAAAATTTTGGTGAGTTTTTAAATTTTTTCTTGCTTTTCTTCAGGGGAATACTATTTTTGACTTGAAACAGATTGAAAAATTATAATAATGGGATCATAGCCATATTCTCTTTATTGGTGACTAAGCTCCTTGCTCATTCTATTCCTGTGATTTACCCAATGTAGTATTTAGGTGATATTTAAGAACAAAAAAATTGAAAAACTAGAGATAGTAGGCCATGTATATATGGATGAGGAAAGTATCATGCGCTAAGTATGATAATTGATCTAGTTTTGTGTCCTCTAAGGTTAAAAAAATTTCAAACGTTATGAATCTGTTTAAATCCATAAATCTTATGAAATACTTGTACAGTACTTATACTTCTGAAAAATATCTACAGAACATCAAGTAAAACATACAAAAGTATCCAATTTACTTTTAATTAATATCTTGGTGAACTTTCAGTTTACAAGTAAGCATGCCAAAATTACAGATGAATAAATTTTTATTTCTTATATGAAATATAGTATATTTTTGTACTTCAATTTTGGCATTTAAATCCTACAGTGATGCTAAGTAAAATTACTTTTTAAGGGTAAATGTTGTGGTTATTTGAACAGTATTGTATATTATTCATCTTTTAATTCTGTTTTATTTGTTTACATTCACAATGTCTTCATTTTTATTGTCCATTTTCAAATGTTAAAACTACATGCTAACATTAACATGACACTACATTGAAAACGAACTTTACAGCTTTGGTGGAGAGAGGGAGGAGTTGGGAAGGTAGGGAGGGAAGGGATGGTAGGGGAAAAACAGAGGGGGTAACAATGTTCCATAGGAAATGTACTCATTACCTTACTCATGTAACTGTAACCCCTCTGTACAGTATCTTTATAATAAAAAATACATATTTAAAAAAACACATTTTGAAGCTGATTGCTGGTGACTCACTCCTGTAATCCTAGCTACTCAGGAGGCTAAGATCTGAAGATCACAATTCAAAGCCAGCCTAGGCAGAAAAGTCCACAAGACTCTTACCTCCAAGTAACTACCAGAAAACCAGAAGTGGCCCTGTGGTTCAAAGTGGTAGAGTGCTAGCCCTGAGTATAAAAGCTCAGAGACAATGCTCAGGTCCTGATTTGAAGCCCCATGACTGACAAAAAAATGAACTACTGTAAGGCTATTTATTTATTTTTTTATTACTTCCAGTTTGAAGTTGTGAGACAGGATGAATATATAACCATTGAAAATTTAGGAGCAAGGTAAGCTTGAAATAAAATATATTATTTTTTTCTGAGTATATGTTTTTAGTTGCTTCATCCTATATTCTGTTACCTATTAAACCACCATTAAACTTATTTTATGTTAATGAAGTTTAAGCTTTAGATGTGTTAAGATGTATTGCTTTGTATAGATTTATTATTTTCATTCAACTTGGAATGTTTCATAATTGTGCATGGTGGGGGTGTTAACTTGTTAAACATGGGTTATTTGCAAATATTGTTGATTGCCAAATAATTGGGTATATTTAAATATCTTCCCAGATATGGATTTCTAGTTTAATTTCCTGAATTATCAAATATTATTTTCTATTAATGTATTAGTTTTAAACTTGTTAAAGTCTGTCACATAATTCATATTATGTTTTATTTAGTTGTTTTGGTAGTGGGGCCTGAACTCTGAGCCTGGGAACTGTCTCTCAGCTCTCAGCTCAAGGCTAGCGCTCTACTACTTGAGCCACAGTGTCAATTCTGGCATTTTCTGATCGAACCCAGGCCCTCATGCATGCAAAGCAAGCACTCTACCACTGAGCCACCTTCCCAGCCCTATGTTTCAGTTTTAAATAAAACATGGTTTATTCCTGTAATCCCAGCTACTTAGAAGCCTAGGGTCTTGATACTGAATTCAAAGCCAGCCTGGGCAGGAAAGTTTGTGAGAAATGGATTCATGGCTTATTTGGTAGAGTGCTAGCTTTGAGCAAAAAAGCCCAACCCTAGACCTTTGAACTCAGGTTCAAGCTGCAGGCCAGCAAAAAATTAATTAATTAAATGTAGTTTAATAATTTATATTCTACTCTTGTAGGAGCATTGTACATATAAGTCAAAGTAAATTACAGTTTGTTTCAATGGTTTTTTTAACCAGTTATTTTCTTTTTCTAAATTTATTGTGAAGGAAATATTGAAATTGGTATATTTTTGTCTTTGTTATCTGTCATTTTGAAGCTGTTTTATCGGATATTCATACTTTACATAACTTGCTCATTGTTCCACAAGTACTACTTTGTGTCCTTATCTAATGTGAATATTTCCATTCCACTTTACCCTTTAGTTTATTTTTACTTTTTTGTTAGCATCTGCAGTACTTTTGTTTGTTTGCTTGTTTTGTGCCAGTCCTCACGACCTGGGTACTGTTGATTTTGTGCTCAATGTTTGTTCTCTATCACTTGAGCCCCAGTTCCACTTTCAGCTTTTTGGTGGTTAATTGAAGATAAGAGTCTCATGGACTTTTCTACCTGAGCTGGCTGTGAATTACGATCCTTAGATCTCAGACTTCTGAGTAGGTAGGATTTCAGGTTCAAGCCACCAACTCCTAGACCACCCTATCTTTGATTACCATATCCATGCTATTTCCCTTTATATTCCATATAAGTTTTTGATAATTACTTATGTCATTGGATTTAAATCTACTAACTTCCTTGATATTTAAAATTTGTTCCATATTCTCTTTTTTTGCTTTACTAGTTGTTCATTTTTTCCCAGTAGTCACTCTGCAGTGTAGATTGATTATGAAATATATAATTTTAGCTTATCAAAATTTATTTTCAAAGAATTTTCACCACTTTATGTATATTAAGAAAATCTTAGAATAATATATTCAATTTATGATATATTTCTGTTTTGTCTCAGGGTGTTTTTGTTTTGTGTTTTGTGATGGTCTCAGGTCTTTAACTCAGTGCCTAGGCTCTGTCCCTGAGCTTTTTCTCTCAAGACTAGTGTGCTGCCACTTGAGCCACAACTCCATTTTCAGCTTTTTTGGTACTTAATTAGACATAAGAGTCTCACAGATTTTCCTATCCAAGCTGGCAGAAAATGCTGGACTCTGAGAGTTCAGCCTGCTGAGTAACTCAGATTACAGTTGTGAGCCATTGGACCCAGCTTTGTCTCTGGCTTTTATGTCTTTTACTTATACAGATTTCCTAAATTCTGTAATCCATTGTCACTTATCAGATAGTTTATTTTTCTGTTTTGAATTTTATATACACAGAAACATTTATGTCTTATGCATTTGTAACTATTGTGGTTATGTGCTTCATTCTTCATTTTATGTCATTGCTGTAATTTTATTGTATACCTATCCTGTTGTGGATATGAATACATGTAGGAAATTTATTCGTAATAAATTTTTAGAATTTGTATTCTTAGTACATTTATGTATATTGTGGAATGTACTAGATTTTGCTAAACTCCTACCAGAAGTCTAGGAGAATGTTTTTTTTTAACCCACTGTCTTTGCCAATATTTCATATTATTAGAGTTTTAAATTTCTCCCAAGTTGTGAGGGGCTGGCATATTACAGTAATTTTGAAGATAAGATCAGTTAACAAGAAACAACAATCCGCACCAAAATTCCTGTTTCTTTATACTTTTATTCAATTGTTATTGTCCATTATTTTCACTTCCTTTGGAAAGGTTCTTTTCAAGCAAAGTCAGAAGTGTTTCCTTGTAGTAGTAATATTTTAATACATTTTGTTACTTCTCTTTTTTAATTATTTGTTTTGATTACCACTTTAATTTTTTATTATTAAAACAATTTACTACCTGCAAATAAATCTTAAAAAGTTATGAAATTTCATACTTTTTAAAAAAATATTTTAATTTTTAACATTATTAGGTGTTGACTATTTTGGGTTTTCTTAAAAGTTTTGTCAAAGTAATTCTGCATAAGGAGAAGTCCAAGAGGGAACTTGAGGTTTGCTGTTTCTTTGGTCATATTTGTTTACTTACAACACAAGTCTTTTTTTTTTCTTTTTTCCTGCTATCTCACATGGAAAATAAATTTGATAGGTGTGTCCTATAAACATTTAGCAATATTTTTATGTAATTTTTATCTAATAATACTGCTTACCTAATTCCAAATATTGACATTATGATTATAGTTGTTGGTAGTTCATTCCTTTTTCTCCCTTACCTTTAAATAATTTTCTAGAGAAGAAGAAAATAGTTATTCATGCTAAAAAATGATTTTGACATTATTTCTCTATTAATTTTTTCCACTTGACAGTTATAAGAAGATGATGTCTCTGAAAATAAGTGATACCGATATAACACCGAAGATCAGTTTAAAATTTAATACAAAAGGTATTTTATTTGTATATGATTTCAGTTGAAAAATAACACATTTTAGTTGTGTTGTAAAGTGCCAAATAATTAACAAACATGCTATCACATTTGTCATTCACTAGGGTGAATGCCAAACATGTAGTATGCCAACATGTAGTACTTGGTATAGGCTAGAACTCAAATAGAAATATCAATAGGTATATGTTTCTTCTATTCCTTTGTCATCTTATCAAGGGATATGATAGGTCTTCAGCCTAGCTATGGTTACATAGTAGAATTTCCTCCAGAAGAGATTAACTTCATCATTCCTCACTTGATTTATTCTCTTTCAACAGAGCAAGCATAAGAGTTGCCAAAGATGAAAGGAATGATGCTTAGAATCAAGTAGTATAAATTTTGGTGCCAGCAATTTAGGAATGGACTATGAAATGCTCTGTCTAGCACTTGGCAGTCTTTATAGGCTCCTGATCTATGGAAGAATAGTTGGAAGTAGTCCTTGCTAGGGAAAAAGGATACCCCTAACACTAGTCAGCAGTTTGTATGGCAACCTAGAAAGCTCCTTGAGTCATTTGCTTTTTAACTTTGTTCACCTTCACAGTGAATGTCAAGTATATTAAACAAAAATAATAAAAATCTAAACCAAATCATAAACATAAAAGAATAAAGCTGCATTTTATGATACTGACACCTTAGATTCATATAAAAATCAAAAGTCCTCCTATACGCAATTCTTACTGTTTTTAAGTTCTTCTCTGTTTTCATCCTTGTGTTATTAAATAGGAACAATGCCAATTACTCTAGTCACATTCCTTATTATTGCATTTCATTTATAAAATGCTCAATCATTACATTTCATGAACATGAAACTTATGAGATCAGTACTTCTCAAAACTTTGTATATATTTGAATCATCTGATGATTTTGTTAAAATACAGGTGTCAGTTCAGTAAGTAGGTTTGTAGTAGAGCCTGAGGTTCTGCATGTCTAACAGGCTTTCAGGTAGATGATGCTGATACTGCTGGACTGTGGACCAGGTAAGTACCAAGGCATTAGGTCACTGTGTCTCTTAATATAAATCTGAGCTAATATAATATCCATTATCCATATGCACTTGTTAAGTTTATATTAATGTAAAGTAAATTTTAATACTGTTTCTCAGTCAGACAGACAACCTTTCCAGTACTTAGTGAATAGTGGAAAGAGAAAATTATAAACCGTTCTGGCACAGAAAATTCAGACAGTGCTGAAAGTGCTGCTTTAGTATGAAAAAGTAAATGTAATTGTCTAAGTAAAGGATACTTACACATTAGCAGCTAATAATCTTGACAAATTTCAGGATTTTCAAAGACTTAATATTTATTAGTTTTAGGCTAGTGCTCTTATCACTTGAGCATAATTCTACTTCCAGGCAAAATACGTAACGCCACTTGATGGCCAAAGTTCATTTATTTGAACATACTGTAGTTGGCCAGTCAGTGGTGGCTCATGCCTATCATCCTACTTATGCAGAGATCTGAGGACTGTGGTTCAAAGCAATCCAGGCAGACAAATCTACAAGGCTAGTGGCTTCACAATCAGGAAAAAGCCAGAAGTGAAAATATGGCTCAAGTAGTAGAGTGCCAGTCATGAGTGAAAAAGCCAAAGGAGAGCTTGAAGCCCTTAATTCAAGCCCCAAGTAACAAAACAAGCAAAAAGCCCTTGTGGATTGTTGAAAAGCTTCTGATAGAGAATAGTTTTTGTGATTTCTTGCTTGTGAACATACTATTTTTGTCTAGAGTTTTTCACAGCTGGACACAAAGAAGCATGGTACTGGCTGTGGTAAACTATTATAATGTACTTCATTTTTTTGGAATGATTCCTGCCCTACAGGAGATTTGAGTATACTATAAGAAATCACATAGAAAAATAATATTAATATGAAATGTCTTCACTTTTCAAAATTCGTTTTCAGAGGAGATGCCTATCTTCAAACTCAATTATAATTATTTCTATCATCTGCTCCATATAATTATTATCTCTGGTACTGACATTGTCCGGCAAATATTTGATGAGGCTATGCCACCCCTTCTATTGAAAAAAGAGCTGCTTATACACAAGAATGTACTGGAATCCTACTACAACCATCTTTGGACCAATCACCCTTTGGGAGGATCATGGCATCTGCTTTATCCCCCAAACAAGGAGCTACCACAATCCAAACAGTTTGATTTATGCCTCCTATTAGCTCTCATAAAACATTTGAATGTATTCCCTGCACCCAGAAAAGGCTGGAATATGGAACCACCATCTTCTGATCTCTCTAAGTCTGCAGACATCCTGAGGCTATGCAAATACAGGGATTTTCTTCTTAGTGAGATTTTGATGAATGGTCTCACAGAGTCACAGTTCAATTCAATTTGGAAAAAAGTTTCTGATATTCTTCTGCGCCTTGGGATGAAACAAGAGGATATAGACAAAGTGAAGGAGAATCCCATTGAGAATATATCTCTAGATTACCATCAGCTATCTATCTACCTAGGCATACCAGTACCAGAAATCATCCAGAGGATGTTATCCTGCTATCAACAAGGTACTAAATAATTATTTACTTCAGCCAGTAAACCTTCCTTGAGTTGCTGCTCTATGCTTGGGGAATAATTTTTTTTCTTTTTTTTCTACGTAGATTTGAAAATCTTTGAGTATAAGAAAATGCTGGGCTTGATGATAGGAGAAATTAGGCAAGAACTTTCACATGTAAATTAGAGGCTTTAAGAAATACATTTACTCTTTTAAGATTTTAAGTAACAAAAACCTAAGTGAATAAGGTAATATTTGGGAAAAATGCTGTGAGTACTAATTCAATTCCAAGCATTTCAAGCAGGTTTTCTCTCGACCATCTGAAGAGCTTATTGGTTGAATTCCTTTAATAGAGGCTGTTTTAGTATCATTAATCTTTCAGTTATTAAAGTTGCCATTTTCACTTCTATATCTAATTATTTGATTAACATCCATTGTCATCAGTAAGTCTCCACGTAGGTTATCTTTTTTCTTCATCACTAAATCTCTAGAACCTAACACAATTTGATTTACGTTATGAGTAGTCAATAAATATTAATGGGTAAGGAGAGGGATGATGATCAAGATAATTCAGATTGCTTTAAAAAAAAAAAAAAGACTCAGAGCCAGGCACCAGTGGCTCATGCCTATAATCCTAGCTATTCAGGAGGCTGAGATCTGATGATCATGGTTTAAAGCCAGCTGGGGCAGGAAAGTCCGTGAGAGTCTTATCTCCAATGAACCCACTAGAAAACCAGAAGTGGTGCTGTGGCTCAGGTGGTAGAGCGCTTGCTTTGAACTGAAGAGCCAAGGGACAGCGCCCAGGCCCAGCGTTCAAGCCCCACAACCCACAAAAAAAAAAAAAAGTCAGCCGGTACCATTGGGTTTCACCTATAATCCTAGCTACACAAGAGGCTGAGATCTGAGGATCGCTGTTCAAAGCCAGCCCAGGTAGGAAAGTCAGTGAGACTCATCCCCAGCAAACCAGCAGAAAACTAGAAGTGGTACTGTGGCTCAAGTGGTAGAACACTAGCCTTTAGCTGAAGAGTGCAGGGACAGGGTCCTGATCCAGAGTTCAAGCCCCATGACCAACTGAAAAAAAAAAAAAAAAAAAGACTCAAATATTCATTGGACATTTCCTTCATAGTTCATAATTATTTGGTTCTTTGTGGCTTTCAATTAATAAGAATTGTCTGCTTGGTTTAATGTGTATATGTCTGTTTCTGGTTTTTACCTGTTAAGAACTATTAATTTTTTTCATTGATTTTTCCTTACTAAATCATTTACATCCTTTACATTGATAATCTAAAGATTGACCTTTATCTGAACTGCATTGATAAGCACATCTGGTTATTTTTATAGTTATAAAGTAGATAAATGCAGTATGAAATTCTACTGGCTGTTCTTAATCCTTATTTCATTCTTATTGTTCATGTTTGTAATTGTTTATCTAATTTTTTTCTTTACGTACCATAGGTATTGCTCTACAGTCAATAACAGGCAGTCAATGTAAGTATACTTATAAACTAAATGCTTAAGTTATCATTTAACTTACGATACCTAAGGGATCTATCTTATAGATAAATCTATAAGATTTATACTTGGTAAGAAAAATTATACAATAAAATGTAACGATTCGTAAAAGCTTACAAAATCATGTGATGAAATTACTACTGGTTAACTGAATGTACTATGAGCCTTACTCTGCTTTGGTCTTTGTGCTATGCCACAGGACTTATCCAAGGATGGAAATTTAGTTTTTATTCTCATGTAGAAATTCCTACTTCCTGTTTACTGACTCATCTGTGCTGTTTAATATGGCTCTATCTGATTAACAATCTGTTGTATATACTTTCTAGCTTTTTTGACAGCTGATGGGATGCTGCCATTTACTTACTTAGTTCGTTAATTAGTCAGTTAATACACATAGAATTTTCTTTCATTGTATATCATTTTGACTAAAACTCCTGAGCTCATGTCATCCTCCCATCTCAATCTGTTAACAGTTACCTGGGAGTGCAATCACATGCCACTATATCCAGCTTTTTATTTTCCATTCTTGAGCTTTTAAAAAATGTAAATTCACATTCTAAAATTAAATTAGATATAAGAAAACAACACCATGAGTTTGTTTGGCATTGAATATTGAATCTCCTTATGATGAAGTTTTGAGCCTGAATCTTTAGGGCAATATCAAGGGTCATACTCAAAAAAGAGGTCATGTATAAAGGATCTGATACCCTTCTTAGGGGTTAAAAAAATAAATCTTATAGTTTTTCTTTATATCTTAATACTAATTGTATAATAAAACTAATTAATAGGGCTAGTGCTAAACTTTACTGAAGTTCTATAGTAACTAATATCTAGAGTTTACTTAAGATCCCAGTAATGTATTTCATTACATATTAGTTCCAGGCTATTGTGTGTACCTATCATTTGATTGTGGATATATTGATACTACATCTTCATCTAGTGATTTGAAAGAATAAGATTTCTATTTTTTCCGATATTTTATTTGTTTGGTGAATATTTATAATCACAATAATAAGAGGCTGAAATTCCCTAAACCTTGTATCCAGATTTTGAGTTTTTGTCTTTTATAATTAGGTATTGAAATAGAAGAGTTACAAAATGAGGACGAAGAACTGAGTCCACCTCTTATGGAGTACAATATAAATGTGAAATCAAACACTGAAATACATTTGGCAGAAATGAATAAAGATGGAGGCTCGATACCCAGTGAATCTTCAACAGAATCTACTAAAGATCCTCAAGAAGTATGAACTTTTCTTAATATTTGAATTACTATTGCTTACTCTGGTCCTTTACTTATTGCATATGCTATATTTAAATTATTCCAGACAATCATGTTTACACAGAATTTGAAGAGGAATGATTTTCCCTCAGTATTTTCTAATGTAGTCTTTCTAAATAATCATTTATTTTGCCAAACTTTATTGAACATATATTTGGCACCAGGCACTGTGATATATTTCTGAGTATATTTCTTCTTATTGACTAGTAGAAGTAGGTATGCAAGGATAGTAAAATGGAGAGAAAAGTATAGGGAAAGCTAGAGGCATAACTTAAGATGGTAGAGTGCCAGATATGAACAAGCTTAGTGACAGTATGAAGTCCCAGGTTCAAGCCTTGGTACTAGCACAAAACAAAGAATAGTGAGGACTAAAGAAGATATAAAAATAAGAGTAAGCTAAAATAATTTAATACCTCTTAATACAGAGGTAGAATTTAAATAATCTAATATGGAATGTCCATATTTCTTAGCAGACATCAAATGATAGCTACTTTATAATCACAACATTTTTCATTTTTTTCTTAGGCTTAATCTTATATCCATAGACCTGGATATGTTACTTTTTTGTTTGTTTAGGAGTGCCAGAATTTAAACTCATTAAACATTGCACTTGCTAGGCAGGCTCTACCACATGAGTCATGTCCCTATCTTTTCATTTTAGGTATTTTTCAAATAGGGTCTTAAAATTATACTTGAAATTACCCTAGATCACCATCTTCCTATTTATGCCTTCCCCATAGCTGGAAAGAGCAGTCCTAAGATGGGATCTCATGAAGCTTTTGCCCTTGACCATAATCTTTCTGATGTTCACTTCCCTTACAAGTAACTAGGGTTATAAGTGTGAGCCACCATGTATAACATGTTGCTCTTTTCGAAATGTCTTCATCGTTTATCACATGCATCTGTGCACGTGAGCAAATATAAATTTACATTCTTGCCTACTTATTGACTATGTATCGGTGATTTTTCAAGAGTGAAATATTTAAGATATCAGTAAAAGGAAATATATTTTGCAAACTAACCTTGCAAACTAATCGATTGTACAATTTAAATTGCATGTTAAGTAAATGATTTATCTCTTACCTACTAGGTTATGGATAAACCAAAGAAAAAGAAAAAAACTAAGAATAAAAAGGTAAGAAACTATATTAGTATTAAAATTTAGGAATATTGGTTTAAACCTTCCTGAATTTAATACATGAACTTTTGTTAGAAGTTAAATTTGTCCAGATAGCCATATATATTCTATAGTTGATATAATATTATTGAGACATTTACATATTTTATATTTTAAATTAAACATATCTAAATCATAATTTATAGGTTTAAATATACAAATAATAAAATGATTTAGCCTCTTGAAAATTGTATTGATTTCTGCAAATACCACTCATTTTAATGCCTACTGTTGGCTATGTTCCAGTGGCACACATCTGTAATCTTAGCTACTCAGGAAGCTGAGATCTAAGGATTCTGGTTGCAAGCCAGCCCAGGCAGGAAAGTCCATAAGACTCTTGTCTCTAATTAACCACCAAAAAACCAGAAGTGGAGCTGTGGATCAAGTGGTAGAGCATTGACCTTGAGCGAAAAACCTAAGGTACAGCACCCAGGTCCTGAGTTAAAGCCCCAGTACTAGCACCAAAAAAAAAATTTTTTTTAAGAAAGACCTACTTCTTGTTTTAGTAAAACATTTTTTGTCCTATTTCTATATTTAGGAACAGTTTTCAAAACTTTTAGGAAATCTAGGTCTAAGGCATGGCTCAAGTGATAGAGTTCCAGTTTAACAAGTATGAGAGTTCAAATTCCAGTTATGCCTAATGAAAAAATAAGAAAAAAGAGAACAACACAACTATAAACATCAATATACATACTTTTCAGAAATATACACTTAGTGATGTTATTTAAATGTTTTGTTTATATATCAGGAAGCACATAGGAACTTTTTGTTTCTTCTCCATCTATTTTCCCATTGTAGTTTATTTTTAAAAATGAGATAGTTAATACTCTTATTAAGATGAAATTTGGACATTAGGAAGAAGAATTTTTACACTGTAGTTTTGTATCTTCTAAGTTTTAAATTATTGAACAGGTTTTAGGATTTATGCATATGATTATTTTACATATGGTAGTCTTACATAACCAATTAATGTTAATGTAGATACAAATAATTATCTAGTTGTGAACACTTAGCAATAAGTAATAAAGTCAATCAAATTCTTCAATCAGTTTTCTTGAAAATTTTTTTAATTGTTTGGCTTTGGTTTATTGGTTTATATATATTTATATATTTATATATATATATATATTTATATATATTTATATATATTTTATATATTTTATATATACCATACAGAGGGGTTACAATTACATGGCAAGGTAATGAGTACATTTCTTATCAAGCATTGTTGCCTCCTCCTTTGTTTCTCCTTACCATCCTTTCCCATCTCCTCCATCCCCCACCCCACGCCAAAGTTGTAAAGTTTGTTTTTCGACATAATGTCTTTTACATCTCATTGTTGCAATGGGTCCACCTTCCCTTCCACAAATTATACCTACATCAAATACAGTGAAAACAAGAGTTATACCGTGGGGGAGGGACATACAAAGCAACAAAGAAATATCTTATAAATATGTTAGAAACAATAGCAAGAAAGAAAAAACATTTGAGTCCTTATCTTGGGGTTCATTTTGCCTAACATCAACTTATCTGACTGTGTTTGTCGTAGACATATACTAGTTATGTTATATATAGTTACAACAAAGTCAGTGTGAAATTGTATCCTCTGTTAATTATTTGTTTTGCGTCTTGTCTACCTGACAATAGTCCTGAAAATACCAATTAGGTATTCTCTGAGAGAATAGGAAGAAGTGGGCTGGGAAGGTGGCTCAGTAGCAGAGTGCTTGCCTTGCATGCATGAGGCCCTGGGTTCAATTCCTCAGCACCACATAAACAGAAAAAGTTGGAAGTAGTGCTGTGGCTCAAATGGTAGAGTGCTAGCTTTGAGCTGAAGAGCTGAGAAGAGTGCCCAGGCCCACTACCAGCCAAAAAAAAAAAGAAAGAATAGGAAGAAGTATAATTTTTCTAGCAAAAATAATACTAATAGCAAATATTAATTCCTTTAGATTAGGATTGTGACTACTCTGTATGTTCCTTCACTTTGTTAATTAGGTATTTAGTATTTAAGTAGTAATATACCTAAATGGTAACTAAGTTTGGGGAATTAATTAGTTCCTTTTATCACTCACCCAGGATTAGAGTGAGCAAGACTCAAGAAGACTTTTGTGATGAAGCCTTGGGGAAACAAAAAGAGAGAAACATGACAGGAAGTAAAGCCAGCCCTTTAAATCAGTGGCTTCTATATAAGAGAGAAGTTGTACAGATGCATAAAATAGAGGCTAATAGGAATTACATTGAAGTTATAAAGGGAAGAACTAAAAGGCATTTTGAAAAATGATCAAGAATAGTAGATATGTTTATTATGAACAATCAAAAGTCATTTTAAATCATAATCGAGTACACTAGAACCAAGATAGGAATTAGTAATTCTAAATTATAGAAACAAATTAATGTTGAACTTTGAACATAAATCAGACAGTGACATAAAGTTTGGTATACTGATAAGGAAAGAGAGCAAGTTTTTGCATACAGCATTAATGAGGAGACTTATAAATAAAAGTTTCTTATATAAAGGAGATAGTAAGTATTAATGCTGTAATTTTTTGTCTTCATATATGTTAAATGTTATATGTTAAAATGTCATGTTGTTGTAGTTTTAATCAAAGCAGAATTTAGAGGTTTGGTTTTTTGTGTTCTTTTTTGTGGTCAGTCGTGGGGCTTGAACTCTAGGCTTGGTTGCTGCGCTCTTCAGCTCAAGGATAAGGGAACACTCTACCACTTAAGCCACAGAGCCATTTCCGGTTTTCTAGTGGTTTATTGGAGATAAGAGTTTCACAGATTTTCCTGCCCAGACTGGCTTTGAACCATGATCCTCAGATTTCAGCCTCCTGAGGAGCTGGATTGAGAAATTTTTAATTTCCTCCCATTTGTGATCTTCTAGCACTTTGTTTTTCTATAAGATCTTTTTCTCAACATTTTTATTAGCATCAGTTTGTTTTATAATGAATTTTCATGTTACTGTCTTATATTCATACAACGTACCTTGATTAAACTCACCCCCCTCTATCACCCTTACTTACATACCCTCTTCCTGGACCAATCTCAACTTACTGTAAGATTCTTCATGTTTCAGTCTGATTTATCCTTTCATTTATGTTTCCAAAAGTCCTGTACCTCTCTATGAATATGTATTATACTCACTTATCCCAAAGTTTTCTAGTAGGTATGAATTCAATTCTTAATATTCACCTTCTCTAGTAGTCAGCTCCGTTATCTGTATCAGTGATGTTTCAAGTTACATGTCTTAACTCAGTAATAGATAATATCAGTTTAGTGAACCATAAAAGGAAATAAAGTAAGTATAAATTTAAAAACATAGTTCACAGGTAAAAATGAATAAAATTTAATTCATAAGATTTATAGTTTATGAGTGGAGACTATAACTCAGTACTTTCAATATTATGAAAAAAAATTTATTTGGTGGTTCTCAAAAAGTTTACACTGACCTGATGACCTAAATATCATATCACTATACTATGCTGGCGTAGTTGATATAGATTACTAAATCCTTGTGATTGTATTTTTCAGAGTAAAGACTCAAAGGAAGAGCAAATGTAAGTGTTAATTTATTTAATTTTAAAGTTTTTCTTAGTATTTTTCAAAGTGAGTTTGTGAACACTTTCTTTTGGGAAATGTTCTCATTGAAAAAAGGATAGAACTTTGTCTTAATATATTGTTTCAATTTCACAGAAGATAATGAAAAATTTAGTTACCATTTTTCTTTGTTCATTACTTCAATTAGACATATTCATAGGGTACAATGTAATATTTCAATACACACATATGCAATATGTACTGATCAAAGAACAATGAACATTTCCATCTCTTAATCAGTAGTACAAGATTGGAGCTGCTAAGTTAATCTAGTTGTTCATAAAATTAAGTTATCATCTTTAAAGAACAGACTCACCCCTTTGTCTGTGAGGCTGCTTAAGAGTCATCTAATTCCTAATGCTTCGTTCACAATGTGAATACTGCAAAAAAATACTTTAAAATATGTATCAATAGTTAGGTAAATCTAAACTAAGACTTAAAGGATGTATCATTTATATCTCACTGGCTCCTTTTACAAATTTAGTTTAACTTGAGGCACTTTTTTATTTTAGTTTTTGAAAGTAAAATTTGAAACTTTAACAAACATTTTAATGTCAGAAGATCGGTATAAGATATATTTTGCAGCCATATGATTTACAACACATAAAAGAAGTTTAAAGAAGAGGTGGAAATGTCTAATGAAGGGATCATTATCCCAACCAAAAAATTTGGTCATCTGAGTATTGGTAATGTTGAAGAATTCTAATCCTATAAATTGGATATCTGTAAAATGACACAAGAAGATATTTTCTTAACCTAAAAGCTATGGTTTGTGGAATACACTTTATTAATGTTCACAGATATAATCCATTAATTTAAAATAGTTTATTATCAAAGATGCTTTCACCTGCTTTGGGAGAAAATTGGAACCACTGGGTCAATATGTTTCCTTAATTTTTTTAGGCTGTGTCAATGTGGTATAAAATTAACTTAATAGTGATGAAACAATTTCATCAATCATTTTCACTCATTTTCCATGTATTGCATCCCAATCTGGATGATTAAATCACCAAAGAAGAGATTTTTTCATATATACACAAAAAGAGAATATTATATATAAATGCACAAAAGAGTATAAATATGTATATATATAAGTATATATATAAATGTAGATTGTCTAAGTATATATGTGTATACATACATATGTATGTATATGTTCGTGTGTATGTATGTGTGCGTGTGATCCCATTCAATAACTAGTACTGTTTTCACATTTAATCATACTATGTTTGACATTCTTTTATGTGTTTAGGTGTTTTAACCCTTAATATCATTATAACTTTACCCTTACTTACTTCACTTAGTCTATATAAGAAATATGATAATTTTCCTATATTATCCAATGCTTGTATTTTGCTTAAAAATTTAGAAATTGTTTTGGGGATCCTTTAAAAATATATAAATTCATCATGCTTCATCTTGCAGAATTCAGTTACAAGGATGCCTAAGAATACGTAATTTCTTTTTTTATTCTTTGGTTAATTTAGAACATTGAGTTTGTGAATGAATAGTTTATATAATCAGTTGATTTAATTGAATTTTCCAAAATGTTAGATCACTCTCAAATACCTAAGTGACACCGAGTAACAATTTATATAGTGCTTTATGAGTTATTCTACAAACATTAGATGTCATTGTTTTTTAAGATGTCAATGTGCTAAAACAGTAAAACATATCCTAATTCACACTATAAGTAAAAGTACTTCTTGTATTAGGTAGTAGGCCAACTAAAGACTAGTAATTTAACTGGTGTGTTTGAGAAATAAGTATAAAATTAGTTATCATTGTATCTATAGCATTTACATTTTTACTAATCCTTGTTAATGATTCACTTATTAGCACTATATTAGCACTACAGATTTTCTAAAACCAAAAACTCTCTATATTGCAATCTTATTTTTTGTTGTTAGTTGCAGCCTTCTATTTAAATATATATTGGAACAAAATACAAAAGTTGATTAAACCCAAATACCTGTAAGAAATACTGTGATCACAGGGATGAATGTGTTGTATGATTAAAATAGTAAAGCAAATTCAGAAATGATTGTTAATGTTCCTCAAAATATTGTTTCCCAAAATAACATTGATAGTTATAGTGAATAAATGAACTCTATGGTCTCATAATTCTTGAAAATACTGGGATGCACAATTAAGTAAATACTATTTCAAGTGCTGTTTTGAATATGCCAATATTTATTATAAATCTTTAACAGAAATACAGATGAACTTTGTCCAAAGCCTATATTCCTTCTAATGATGAGTGTCTCGTGAGACCAGTATAGCACTAATTTGGGAAACAATAGCTTAGATATAAAATCACCAAGAAAATTTAAAATATCACATTGATCATATCACTACTATAGCTCATACATAGTTGAAGATCAGTTGAACAAACAAGCAAATCTCCATTCAATTGGTAGGTACATGAAAGATGATGCAAGTGATATTCAAGAGGATTCTGCAACTGAAGACAAGTTCTATAGCCTGGATGAATTACATATTATGGACATGATAGAGCAGGTAACCATGATTGGAGAAGGTATAGTCCTGCCTTCCTTGTTACTTTATTTTCCTTTTGAACAGTATGACTTTTTCTTTTTTTTAAGCCAGTGGTCTGAAAGAAAGAAAAAACAAGAAGAGACATATAAAGGGATTTTTTTTAAATTATAAAGATGCTGTACAGAGGGCTCACAGTTACATGAATAAGGTTATGAGTACATTTCTTGTTGAGCATTGTTACCCCCTCCTGGGATTTTTTAAAAATTGTTGCGCTTATTTATTTTTTCTAAGACCCTTTGTTCCTGACCTCTTTTCATTAGCCTTTAAATCATTTCCTGGCTTTAATCATTAGGCAAAGTTTATTGTAAATGGATTCCATGTAAAAGGTTTGGAGCATCACAAAAAGAAATACATAAAATAATCCCACTGAATTAAATGTCATGAGAAAAGTATTTTTGTAAAACATTGAGGTTTTTTAACTGAATCTCATTTTAACCATGAAATGTCCATGAAAAAAAACTTTTTTGGCTCCGGTCGTGGGGCCTGAACTCTGGGCCTGGGCGCTGTCCCTCAGCTCTTCAGCTCAAGGCTAGCACTCTACCACTTGAGCCATAGCGCCACTTCCGGCTTTTTTTCTTTTTGCTTATGTGGTACTGGGGGATTGAACCCAGGGCCTCATGCATGCAAGGCAAGCGCTCTACCACTGAGCCACCTTCCCAGCCCCCATGAAAATTTTTTAGAAAGTATTTGCCCACAAATATGAATTCAGTGATAACCGCTGTGATTTAAATAATGGCATATATTATATAGAGATATTCATTGTCTAAGAGTTAATACAAATGATTCCCTAGCTGGTATAATAACCACATAATTTGTATGCCCTATTTGTCTTTTCCAAATAAAGTGTTAGAATATGTCCATTTAAACTGAATTGGGATACTTTTATCTTTAAATATCACATTGAAGTTTAAATATGAGTACATAGGTTTTTCTGTAGTCAGAACTATAAGACTCAAAATTAGAATAAAAGTGTTATACATTTTTGAAAGATGTTTATTTTGTGGTGCTCTAGCAACTAAGGCAACTGAGATCGAAGGATCATGGTTCAAAGCCATTCCAGGTAAGAAAGTCCTTGAGACTCTTGCCTCCAATTAACCATCAAAAAGCTCATGTGATAGAATGGTAGCTTTGAGCAAAAAAACTCAGGGATAGTCCCCAGGCCCTGACTTCAAGCCTCAGGACTGGCACTTAATAAATAAATAAACAAACCTATGAAGTATCTACATTGTGTCAAGAACTATGTTAAGATGTTAAGACATAATCCCTTCTATAGTGTTTATAATCTCATGGAGAAGTTAAAACATTAAAATGAGATGATACAGTGAAATAACTAAGTATTTAGCCAATTGAGCCTGCCTGAGTTAGAATTCAGATTCTTTTGTTCGCTGTGAGACCTTGAACAAGTTACTTAAAATGATAAAAAGTGTGCCTATTTCATATAATTCCTATCATAATAAAATACACAAAATTCCTAAAAAAATGTTAAGCATTCAGATAATTGTTACCCAATAGCAGCAGACAAGTGACGAGTATAGTTTAAATGAATATTGTAATTAGTGAGGGGCTGAGTTGGACCATAAAGCATGAGTTTGGAACTGGCAACTTTATACCTATTAGTAACTAAAATATTACTGTTTCTATAGGAAAATGAAACTTTCCTGTTTCATTTGCTTTCACAGGGTTCAACTGGCAAGGCAAACACAGAGTATGGAGAAACTGAAAAAGAAAGGCTTGCGCGTCAGCAACAGTTGTTTAAACTGCACTATCAATGTGAAGTAAGTACTTTTGCCATTACGTTAAAGGAGGTAAGAAGTATTTCAAATGTTAATGTAATAAATTTTTATTTTTTTTAAAGAATGTTTTCTTTCCATTTTTAATAACCTAAATATAATTAACTGTAAAATAATATTTTTCATTGATCAGGACTTCAAAAGACAGTTGAAAACAGTGACATTCCGGTGGCAAGAAAATCAAATGCAAGTTAAAAAGAAAGACAAAATTATTGCATCTCTTAACCAACAAGTGGCTTTTGGAATCAATAAAGCTTCCAAGTAAGTATAAATGTCACAAAAGAGAAATGCTGTGTTAACTTCATCTGTGAAAGATAATTTCTATGTAGCCACTAGAGGGCATTGTTACTGCACAAGTAGATATTCCAAAGGCTATACTTGCTTAAAAATCACCATATTTTCACTTCACCAACTGAATTAAGGAGTGACTGCATATTCTATATATCAAGCTCTTCAATTGACTGTACAAGTGTGAAGATAATAGAATTACATGACAAAGATAATTAACTTTTAGGTCATGACTCATTTGTAAAAGTGTGATCAATGCTTGGCTGCTTCTTTTTAGCATTTGATAAGTCTATTTCTCAAATATAATAGAATCAGTTGAGTGCTTATTTCTCAGAGTTTTTGTGTTTTGAGAGATTGAAAACAAGCCAAATTCATGGAAACTTCCCATCTTGACCAAACTCTCTTACATCTATAGTAAAATGATGAATTAAACAGGAAAAAATAAATATTCTTTTATTAATCACTGCATCTGATGTGCATTAGTTTAAATGATATAGTTTGTGACAAATTATATTAATAAATTGTAATACTATAACACTCCAGGCATCCCTAAAACCTAATTTAAAATCTTTTACTATTCCTAGAATGCTATAGAGAGAATAGACAATAGAAATGTCTTCGAACAAAGAGTCTAAACCAATCCAGCAGTGATGCTCACTAGACACTATGTTGGAAATGAACAATACAACTTGGGGGAGGGGAAAAGACGGGGCGAGGGGCAGAAAAACAAGAGAATGAGGGAGACTCATTACCTGACATACATAATTGTAACCTCTCTGTTCATCACCTTTCAATAATTTTTTTAAAGAAGGAAAAAAAGTCTAAGATATATCTTATAAAATTAGAGAAACATTTGATAGACATTTATGTCTTAAATTTTCTCTAATATTTTTACCTTAAAAACAAAGTACTTGATACTGGAATTAGAAAGATTTTCTAAGTTTAAGAAGAGGGAAAGCTTGTACAAACTATGTGGCTGCAGTTACTGAATAAGAAACTCAGACTTCAGTATTCAAAACTTTTTGTCCTCATCTGAAAAGTGATGACCAATCTAGAAAAATATTATCAGAAAAGTGATTATTATATCAGCACAGATTAGCTGCTTCTCTCCTTTGCTGAGTAGATCCCTTTTACTTTTTTGAGACAGTCTTACTGTGTAGTTCATACTGGTTTACTCCCTTTTCATGCTTGTGTATTTGAAGCTATAAATGAACCACTTTAGAGGAAATATATGTATACACAAGCATTCACTATGAAACATTCATCAAACATCAGATACCCAATACATCAGAAACATATATAACACATATGTAGAAGATACTATAATGTGGTAAGATATTAATTTTTGAGCTAATGAGTGATATAGATTAACATGTGAGAATTGAAATTATATAACAAAGAGATCTCCAGGCCCATCAAGATAGTGTAACACATTCTTCACAACTTCAACACTCTGAATAATCCAAAAGTATGGAAGAAGAAAATATACTGTCTAGAAACATTGGAAGTTGAGGAGTGAAGTGACAGTAAGTATCCTTTTTCCCTCATATACATCTCAGACAGGGTGGTTCAAAAACTTCTTAATTTGGAACTGTCAGTAAACCCTTGGAAAAGTCATTCCAAGAAAAGCCTGTTCTCTCTTTAACAAAATGATGAGAGAGGGTAACTATAATAAACTAGAAAACTAGTCACACTGCTCTTAGGAACAAATCTTTTTTAGTGGGTGAGGTAAAGTATAAGGAGATAAAGATGCTTTTCCATATCATGGAGCTGGAATGCAAGATAGGGTAACAGTTGTCTCTGGCTTTCTAATGTTTTGGATTACTTTTTAGTTGCCTTTTCATTGAGAAGGCAGTAATTCAGAAGTAAGTCAATTGGAGATTAGAATCAGTAAATCAGAAGTCAGTAAATTGTGAATTAGATAAGTTTCCATTAGACCAAATATAGGAGTACAGTTACCGTTTCAAGTATTAAGATTTTATTTGAATTAGGCCCACTTGGTCCTTACTCAGCCACAAGAAGAATTGTTTTGACTGCTAATGGGAAATAATTTCTAATACATTATGTTTTTCTTATTTTTTTTAGATTACAGCGACAAGTTCATTCTAAAGACAATGAAATCAAGAACCTTAAGGAACAACTTTCCATGAAAAGGTAATTTTCCTTTGGCTAGATGCACCCTCTCTGAAGTTGTGTATTTCTCTACATTTTCTGGCTAGAGTAGCCATATCCTTTGCCACTCAAACTGGTAAAGCATGATATTGAACAGTATTAGTAATTACAGACAGATGGTGGATATAAACTGAAGTGTCCTTGGCACTTTGGAAGATATTCACCTTTAATTTGGTCTTAGAAACAACAAATTACTAACCTAAATTAAAACTTACATGTTCTTATTCCTTTAATCAGTAATAATAGGTATACTTGTTTTATGATACTGAAGAGGTATCATTCAGCCACCTATTGTTTTCCTTGGATAATTTCTAAAAGTTTATTTCCTATGTAATTTATATATCACAGAATTCATTCTGTTACAGCATAGAGTTCTTTGGTGTTTTAGTTTATTCACAGAACCATATTACTGTCACCACTATCTTTATTTCCAGAGTGCTTTTTTTTCAAGTACAAAAATGAACATTTATTTTGTACATGAAAAGGAATAATAAAAACCTTTATACCAAAGAAACCTTGTAGCCATTAAAAATGATGTCATTTTCTCCTCTAGCTTTTGGTAAACCTATTCTACTGTCTTTATGGATCTGCCTATTTCAGATATTTTATGCAAATGGAATCACAACATGTGGTTCCTTATGATAAATTCCTTTTACTTAACATGATGGTTTTAAAACCCCTCTGTCCTTTAACATAAGAACTCATTTCTTTTATGGATACATAATAATTCATGTTTAGACGTAACTCATTTTATCTTTTTATCAATATGGAGAATAGTTTTTCTAATTTTTTTTCACTATTGTGAGCAAAGTTGTATTGAACATCAAAGAATATTTATCTAGAGATGCTTTTGTGTATATATACCAAGAGTTAGAATTTGCTGGGTCACCAGTAAATTTTACATTTAACTTTTTGAGAATTACCAATTTTCCAAGTAGCAATATCACTTTACAGTTTCAAGAATGTATAAGGATTCTAATATCTCTACATTCTTATTTAGACTTATTAAATTATCTGTATTTTACCTTTTATGTATGAAATGGTATGGCATTATGGCTTTACTTTTCATTTTTCCAGTGATTAAATATGTTGAACGTATTTTTATCTACTTATTAGTCCTCTTTTTATCTTCTTATACTTAATTTTTTTGCCCATTTTGAAAATTGGAATGTCATTTTTTTTCTTGAATTTTAATGATCCTCTGTATGTAGGTATCATGGGAGCTTCTTTGTTTTTCTGTGCTGAGGCTTGAACTCAGGGCCTTATATGTGGTCTAGAGAAGTACGCTAACACCAAGCGTTATTACTAATCCTGGACACAAATTTCTTTTCAGCTATGTTTTGTTAGTACTTCTCCCATCCTGTGGGTTACCTTTGCTTTTCTTGTTAGTATTTAAAGCACAAATGTAGCCCGGTGCCAGTGGCTCATGCCTGTAATCCTAGCTACTCAGGAGGCTGAGATCTGAGGATCATGGTTCAAAGCCAACCAGGGCAGGAAAGTCCCAGAGACTCTTACCTTCAATAAACCCACTCAGAAAACCAGAAGTGGCACTTTGGTTCAAGTGGTACAGCACTAGCCTTGAGCTGAAGAGCTGAGGGACCTATCCAAGCCCAGAGTTCTAGCCCCATGACTGACCCCCCCCTCCAAAAAAAAGCACAAATATTTCTTAATTTTGGTGGTCTGTATTTTTTCTTTTCAGCAAATTTTGTACAAATACTTAGTGGCATAATAATGAACTCTTTTTGAGTGGAGTTAGAATATCTACTTGAGTTTTTCACAATTTTATTTCTTCCCAAAACCTCTTGAGTTAATAACACAGCATTGAAAATAATTTTTGTGGGAGGCCCCTATCATAATATAGTTTCAGATAATTGTTCTAATTAAAAACAGAATTTAGCTTGTAAGCGATGGACTTCAGGGGCTTGAGTGTAAGAAGCTGAGAAGGAATGACGACAAAAAAAAAGCAAGAAACCTTACACTTAGCCATTTTTATAATATGCACAAATAGTGTCCTTATCTTTCTCTTTTCCCCTCAAGCTGTAAGATTTGACTCAACCAGTAAAGTATCTTCCCTTTATGATAAAATAATAAAAAGGTAGGTAGTTGCTATTATTCTGCCCAATTGAACTTTATAACAGCCACTTTTTAAGTAAATACAACTTTCTCCATTTTACATCTGAACAAACTGGAATACAGAAACTAATTCACTTGCTCTGATTGTTTTAGCTACTATAACAAAATACCACTGACACTAGCCTATTTTTTTTAAAGCAATATATTTCTCACAGTTCTGGGGTCTGAAAATTCAAGACACCAGCCACTTTGTTATGTGGTAATAATCTTCTTCCTCAGAGATAGCTATCTTCTCACTGTAACCTTTACATAGAGGTAGAGGCAAAGAAGTGCTTTCATGTGAGAGCCTGAAAATCCAAGCTGTGAGATCCGAAAGGACTGGAAGTTTGGAATGTCTTGTAATGCTGAGAGTTTTCCTGAAAAAGTCTATCAGTCCTGGCATAAGGGAACTGAATAGGGAATTTTACCCTAAACTGTGTTAATAAAACCTTTGGATCTCATGCTGGTGGAAGGCTACAGGTCCCCAAACCTCAGTTCTGCTATCCTGGCTCTGTTATTGTGTTACTCCCGGTCAAGGCTGATTCAGGAGCACACAGCAACACTTTCAAGCCTCTTTTACATGGACACTAACCCTATTCATGAATACTTAACCTTTTTAACCTTATCACCTCTAAAAAGGCATTACCTGAATTGTGATGGGTGAGGATAGTGGAAGGACAAACATTAAGTATATCATTTTTGCCCAAGTCTTATACTTATTAAGATGTGTAACTAAGATTCATCCTAAGATACTTGATGTCTGAGCCAGTTACAGATCATAACCACTATATGTCATAAGCACTGTGTTGACAACCTTAAAACTTCGTCAAAGTAAAGGATGGCAGTAAGGCCTTCTCTTGTTTTTATGTGCCATACACTTTTCTAAGAAATCCTTTCTTTTTGATTATATAGTTTGACTCTTCTTTCTCCTGAATAAAATGAAAAAGTTTATCGTTGCTATAATGTTGCTGATTCTTTAATGATCATATTTTGCAGATCCCAGTGGGAAATGGAAAAGCATAACTTGGAAAGCACAGTTAAGACATACTTAAACAAGTTGAATGCAGAAACTAGCAGAGCCTTAACAGCTGAGGTAAGACAATAAAAAGAGAACAGTGGGAGAATGAGAGGATGGACTAAGAGAGAGGCCAGTTTTACTTGTATACTATTCATATAACTGAAGGAATTGAAGAAGAAAGCAAAACAAAACAAAAAAGACTGATTTAAGTGACTCACACCTGTAATCCTAGCTACTCAGGAGGCTGAGATCTGAGGATAGAGGTTCAAAGCCAGCCCGGGCAGGAAAGTCTTATCTCCAATAAACCACCAGAAAACCAGAAGTGGGGCTGTGGCTCAAGCAGTAGAGCGGTCGCCTTGAGATGAAGAGCCAGGACAACGCCCAAGCCCAGAGTTCAAGCCCCACGACCAACCAAAAAAAAAAGAAATCCTAAATAAGATACCTTACTACCATCCAAGAAAACACAGCTTAAACATTTATACTTTTTTGAGTTAGCAGCATATTGTGCATGAGAACATTAATGTTTATGATTTTTGTGTCATTTTGCTTCAGTGACTCCAAGAAATTGATCTATTGTAGATGTATAGAAACTACTGACCACTTGGAGAAATTTTTATGAAGATAGACTTGTGTTTTTTTAAATGGGCTATGGGGCATTTTGATTATAAAATCTTTAAGTAGTTGTACCAAGGAGTTGCCATCCAATGAAGCACTTTATGAAGTGCACCTTGATCAGTGTCACTCCTTTCAACATTATTACCCACCCTTTCTAAATGGTAGCAGAAAGGAACTTTTGACTGAAAGTGTGAAAAATGAAGGACACAAAGTTAACCTTTTAATGTAAGATGAGCTTTTTCTTTTAAAACTAGTACTCCAACACTATATTCCACAGATATTTGCTATAGTAAACATCATTGAGTTGTTGAGCTCTTAGATCCTAAATAAATGTTACTAGTGACAGAGATAAAAAGATTTTTAACACTCTTTAATAACAGTAAGCACTTTCTCTCCAAAAAAAAAAGCAAGGTTCAATCCCTTGCCAGAATAAAGTCTGGATTAGCGAGAATGTTGCAAGAGGGGAGTCGGGTAAAGGGAAAGGGTAGAGTAATGAAGTGAGAATGGGAGAGAGTGGGGAGAAGGCAATCAAGAGGTTATTGTATGTATCATAGAACTGAGAAAAATAGGAAGGGGTGGGTTGAAGGAGTGAAAATGTTGAAAGGATGGCACAAATCAAGATGTACTATATACGTAAACTGCTTTGTCAAATGACAAAATATTTTTCTGCATATTCTAAAAATTAAGAAAAGTGAGGGAAGGAGTTCAAGCCCCACGATAGACAAAAAAAATAATAAATAAATAATATTTTCAAACTTCAACTGAGAGCTTTCAAAAATCCTAATGCCCAGGCTATACCCATTCATCAGTTACATTAGACACTCTGGGCCAGGGCATCATTCTTAAAGTTTCCAAAATAATTCTAATATGTATGCACGTTTGAAAAGTAATATCCTTGAGTGCTTATAAAGCCAATAACCACTGAGCAAGAAAATTTCAGAATAACACTGACAAAGAAGCGGTATTGTAATGGTCAAGAAACTGAGGTACTAAAGGTTCTAGAGCTACTAGAAGTACTAGGAGTATTAGGCTGAAAAATAGCTAAAAATTTACTTGAGATAATTGAGAAATTTTACTTTTACCAAGATTCCTCAACTTCTTTTTCTCTCCAAAATCTATAGGTATATTTTTTACAATGTCGTAGAGATTTTGGTTTACTTCATCTAGAACAGACTGAAAAGGAGTGTCTTAATCAGCTTGCCAGGGTGACTCACATGGCAGCAAGGTAACCTTTTCTTCTTCCTGAATTCATCATAATCTCAGAGATAGGTCAGTGTTTCCATATTGAACATAAGGTTTATTATGTACAGTACAGCCGACAAAATGAAATTAAGGAAACCCTGGTTCTATTAAACTTCAAAACTAATCCAGTCACTTTGATTCCTGCATTGTGTTGCTTCTGTGTAAGTATTAAGGAGCATTAAATATAATAATAGCTGCTGGAAAAATAACCACAGAAGTATTTTGTGTTGCGTTGTGAAATACAGCAAAGTATCAGAAAAATGCATAAACACCAGACATAAAATCAGGTGAATTCTAATTGGAAACTTTTTCTAATCCTTTTTCCTTTTAATGGTTTATTATTATGAAGCTTATTTCTATGAGACTATCTTAGAAATAATTTCTGCTCTCTTTAGATTGTTAGTCTGAATAGTACAGGTGTGGGAATGTTAGAATAGGTAGACCTTTTGGAAGTTCACATGAAATCTCTTTCAGAGATAATAAGCCCTAAAAGTCTCAAAATTGTTCCTTCTTTATTTGTTGGACATGAATTGGTGGACCTTTTATGTTTGTCCACTTTAGACACTTTACAAAAAACTGTAATCTTATTCTTCTCATAGAGGAGATCCTTTTCTCATTTGCCCTCTCAGAGGCTGGAGAGAGAAAGAAAGAGAGGGAGAGAGATAGTTTCATAATTCACAAAGGAGACAGTTAGACCAACTATAGCTCTGTGATGTCATGGTTAATGAGAAGCTAGTTGAAAACCTGCTTTCAAGATGGATCAGCATTTTTGAGATGACTAAGGTAATTATTCTATTTGGTTTTTCTCTGCTTTCTGACATCATTAGAGATATTCCAGTAAAATAATGGTTTATTTCTATAGTATATCCTAAAAATACTGCCAAGATTAAAAATCTGGGTGTACTCGAATCCTAAATTATATTTAGAATAAAATAATTCTTGTATTACTAAAAAAATAATTCTTGTATTACTGATTTCTGTTTGTTTGGGATTTTGCATATGTGTGAATGTGCTAGTCCCGGAACTTGAACACAGTGCCTGAACATTGTCTCAGAGCTTTCACAAAGCTACCACTAAGCCATAGCTCTACTTGCAGTTTTTTCAGTAATAAATTGGAAATAAGAATCACACATTTTCTTTTTAAGGCCAGCTTCAAACTGTGGTCCTCAGGTCTCGGCCTCCTGAACAGCTAGAATTATAGGTGTGAGCCACTAGCACCCTACTCTTCTGTTTTCATTTTCAATAACAAGCATTACTATATATCTTTGACCTTATTTGAAATAATTGGTTGGGGAGGAATTATTTTCTACTTTTATATTGTTTACATATATGCTAGAAACATAATGGAAATACCACATTAAAAACAAAGCTCTTTCTGTGTGTCCATGTCTGTATCAGCAATCTAGAATCACTTCAATTAAAGGCTGCAGTAGATAGTTGGAATGCCATTGTGGCGGATGTTAGAAACAAGATTGCATACCTCCGGGTAAGTTCTGAAAAGCAAACTGACCCAATGTTACCTGTGGTACACACTTAAGGACATCTGACATCTGACATTAAAAACAATTAGGCTGGGCGCTGGTGGCTCATGCCTGTAATCCTAGCTACTCAGGAGGCTGAGATCAGAGGATTGCAGTTCAAAGCCAGCCTGTGCAGGAAAGTCTGTGAGACTCTTTATCTCCAATTTATCAACAGAAAACCACAAGTGGTGCTCTGGCTTAAGTTGTAGAGCCCTAGCCTTGAGCTGAAGAGCTGAGGGACAGGGCCCAGGCCTAGAGTTCAAGTCCTATGACTGACAGAAAAAAAAGAAGGCAATTAGAGAAAATATTGAGGCTTTTAAAAAAAAAATTGAGTATCAAAGTTTATGCCTTTGGTCTGAGACTGCTGGTCCTGAGGCTTGAAGTTGGCCTGAATACTGTCCCTGAGTTTCTTTTGCTCAAGGCTAATGCTCTGCCACTTGAGCCATAGCACCACTTCTGACTTTTTCTGTGATTTAATTAGAAATAAGTGTCTCACTGACTTTCCAGCTCAGGCTGGCTTTGAACTGTGATCCTCAGATCTCAGCCTCTTGAGCAGGTAGGATTACAAGTATGAGCCACTGGCACCAGGCCTGAGATTGCTTTTATGTAGTTTATTTGTAGATTGTACACACACATACACAGACACACACACAGACACACACACACAGACACACACACACACACACACACTCTGCCTTTTACATCCTCAGAACCAGGCCTGAGATTGCTTTTATGTAGTTTATTTGTAGATTGTACACACACACACACATACACACACACTGCCTTTTACATCCTCAGTTGAAGAAATGATTAAACATAAAAATTGTACATCAAAGTTTTCCTAAAATTCCAAAACTAACTCCATCCCATTCAGACTTAAATGTATTGACCAGCTCTGTCTAATAATGTATTTACAGAATTAAAAGGAATATTAAATAGCTCTATATTCTTTTTTAAGTTTTTTATGAGGTTACTTCAGAATGCAAAATAATTCCTAATGATTGGTTTAATTATAGTGAGTCTCTATGCTAGAGGTAATCTAGAGACATAATTGTCCCCCCCAAATATCTGTTAGTTTGGTTTTATAACCTTTTTATGTACAGTGGTAATTTATTTCTGCTTTCAAAACACTACAGCAATGATAATTAATTGTGAAGAGCTACTTCAGAGTACTATAGACTAACAGTTATTGTGTAAGAGTTTTGATTATTTCTCCTCAGGATTTTTTTAGCTCACAGTTTAGTGAGGTTCAGCATATGCACTGGGTTTATTCCAAGTTTAGACCTCAAAAGAGATGCCCCTTTCCTTCTCCTTGTTTTCCTCTAAGTATGTTCTCTGCATGGCTATTTCTAAATGTATTGTTTTGTATGACTTTGATTACAAACTTGCAGTTTGTTTACTAAAATAATGAAGTGAGCCAGGGATAATCCTTAAACATGTTTAAATCATTGTGTTAAGCTTTCTTATTTTTGGTGGAATCCAGGAAGGGGAAAAAAATGTATAGAAGTAAATCGAGCTGTTTGTATAGCATTTGAGGTTTTTTTAATGTGGATAGTAAATGCCACTAAAATTTTCCCTTATACTTTTTTTTAAAGAAATGTTTATGAGTAGTTCAATTCTGTGATTCAAATCTTTGGTTTTCTCTAGCCAGTGCATTATGTATAGCTTCTTAAATATTTACACTCTTAATTTGTTTCTTTTTTTGGGGGGGGTCTGGTTGTGGGGCCTGAACTCTGGGCCTGGGCACTGTCCCTCAGCTCTTCAGCTCAAGGCTAGCGCTCTACACTTGAGCCACAGCGCCACTTCCGGCTTTTTTCATTTTGCTTATGTGGTGCTGAGAAATTGAACCCAGGGCCTTAGGCATGCAAGGCAAGCACTCTACCACTGAGCCACCTTCCCAGCCCCTTCATTTGTTTCTTATAGATGGTTTCTAGTTGGAAACAGAAAAGTATAGAAACACAGTAGTTCTCATAAGGAACTGTGAATCATGTGTCACTATTTCTTATCAACCATCTTCTAGTAATACTGTTATTTATGTGAGGGAATAGTGGTTCATAGAATTGTTTGTAGAATTGTATTTAAGTAGAGAAACTTTATAGCATTTCTATCAGTGGATAAAGAACTATTCTGCTATTCATAACTGTTTAAGCAATTCCTATGTACTGTTTACTTAATTATGATCCAAAATAATTTCTCTTCTACCAGACACAATATAATGAGCAAATCAACAAGGTGAAACAGGGTTTTGCCTTGAGTACCTTGCCTCCAGTCCAGCTTCCTCCACCACCACCCAGTCCTGAGATACTAGTAAGAAACCTGATATTTTCAAAATTGCCATCTTCATTTTGATTAACTTGTAAAGCTCTTTAACAATGAATATGCTGTTTTTAATGTGTGCTCAAAATAGAACATGCCCATGTTATGAGAACCAGTTGTAATTATGTTCATACCTGCTGATACAATTAGCAGATAAATATTTTTATCAGATGATACAATTAGCTTGCTGTTTCAGCTGAGTTCAGTTCAATAGTTTATATAAATGGGTCTTTGAGATACATTTGATCAAAGAGTAATTTTCATTCAGCCTCCCCTACACAGTAATTGTGGGGAGATAACTGATGAAAACAGAATTGACAATGCCCTTGTGTTAGCAACATCTCAGCACAATACCCTAGAAAGCATTTACAAAAGATTTAGTGCCTTCCACTTAGATTTTCCTTTTCTTTACTTGTATATTCTAGCCTATTTTCAACACAAAAGATAGCTTCCACCCACATATGCTCCTTCTCTTTTTATTGCTAGGGACCAATTAGGTATACTAGACTCTATTTTATACTGTTTTAATATGTTTACAGGAAAAATAGTAACTTATCTGAGGAAATTCACACCAGTTTTCAAAAGAACATTTAGGAAGGTGATAAATTTTATCATAACTCATCTAAGTAAAGAAATTTAAGATGGCTGTAAGATATTTGGGTGCATATAGCATTTGCTATTAGCACTCTACTTGTTGTAGAACTTTTAAGATGTCATTCTGCTCATAGTTGAATATAACAAATAATTCTAAAACTATATGACTTCTATGACTTATTAAAAATATAATCATGAGCTAAACACATTATATATTAAACACCATGCACTTTAGAATATTTTTAATTTTTTATTTTGTAGTGCTGGGTGTCAAACTCTGGCTCTGAACATGCCAGTCAAGTTTACTGATCTACATCCTTAGCCCTTTAGTTTAAATGATATTGTTACCTGTCACAGTTTGGATTGCTTAGTTTCTGTAGGAGCACTGTGTTTAAGAACATTTTTGACCAAGAACTCATGGCTCATGCCTGTAATCCTAGCTGCTTAGGAGGCAGAGATAGAGAGGATTGTGATTTGAGAACAGCCAAGCAAAAGGTTGACAAGAGACCCATCTCTGCCAGTAGCTGTGTATGATGTTAAGCACCTGTCATACCAGTTACAATGGAGAATATAATTAGGAAAGTCAAGATTCAGCCTGGCCCAGGCAAAAGGATAAGACCGTATCTCAAAAATAACGAGAGCATAAAAAGGATGTAGGTGTAGCTGAAGAGACAAAGTGCCTGTCTAGAAAACAGGAAGCCTCAAGTTCAAACACCCAGCATCGCCAAATAAAGATTAAAAAGAACATTGTTCTAGTTTGAAATGTCTATCATTTGCAACTATTTTAAGAATTGGTATGTTCAAGGCATAACAAATATAGGCCATATTGTCTATATGTAGCTTTGAGTTCTTTTCTGTGAAATTTCCTATTATCAATATTGTCTGCTAACATGGGGAGCATTCTGCTGAATATCACTTTTACAAGGTCTATAATGTTTATTCTACTTGAGAGAAACACAAAGATCACCTAATCTGACCCTATCTCATAAACTATGATCTTGGCATCCTGAGTTACCCAGGTAGGTGAGTGAATGTGGAAGTTAAAATCTAATTGTGTTTTCTCATACCACTATCTCACTTCCTTTGCTTTTTTATGTATTCACATATCAAGGTCCCTGTTCTGACATACATTGCTTCTAATATGCTTTGTATCTATATTTCCCATATAGTCTTAAACATTGATCTATGAACTTAAATAGTCACCTATATAAATTTATAAAATGTGAATTTGACACCTTTTTTTTCTTTTTCTGTTTTAGATGCAGCAGTTCTTAGGAAGACCTCTTATGAAGGAACCTTTCTTTAGACCCATACTTACTGTTCCTCAAATGCCTGCAGTTTGCCCTGGCGTTATCACTGCAGCTGGCCAACCTAGACCCCCCTTGGTAAGAACTCTTTTGGTAAAAAAGATATTAACTAGCTTTTTATCACTACAGTACGCTTCCTGAATTAATATTTCCTCTTTGTTCATTTGTTTGATGTGATAATGATGGTGATTGAGGGGATGCTGATAATTAAATGATAATTGAATGACTACTTCCTGTGAAGCTTTGCTAAAGGCATTACATATTATTTACTATTTCTTTAACTGATATTAGCTAAGTATTTGGAAACAAAGATAAATATATCTTTACAATTATAGCAGGAAACAATGTAGGGTATTTTTAATAAATGGTTTATTTTTAGCACAGCTGTTGGTTAGATTGAAAAGCAAAATGAAGCCAAGACAAACAAATTATGTCACAAAGCTAAACAAAATATAATTTATACACAATAGAATACACAGGAAGTGGAGCTGTGGTCCATGCACTAGAGAACTAGTCTTGAGCACAAAAGCTCAGGGACAGTGCTCAGGCCCTAAGTTCAAGCTCCAGGACTAGCACAAAAGTAAAACAGAGTAGACTACACAGAGTGTATGCTCTATAAAGGATAATGGAAATTAGCTTCACCTTGGAACATATATTTAATGTTATAAATTTTCCTAGTTATAGGCAGCTAGATAGGTCTTATCCAGGCCTGAAGAGGAGTAAAGAAATTTAAAGTGACTAGAATTGTTTGAGGAAAAACTTCATACTAATGTAAATCAGAGTTCAAAGGTAAATCAGATTTTTGAGCAAAATTCTGCTTCTTACTCATTAGGCTTTATACAAGCTATTTCTGTAGTTGCTTATTTTTCATGATAATACATGGACTCTTAGAAGGTATGTATATAATTACCCTAGTAATCAGATTCACACTCAAAACATTCACTTATTCACAGTATAATAATGGTTCTAAGGAAGAATAACCATAAAATATGAGGAAAACATTAATGGTTTCATAGCTTAGGTATGTCACTATCACTTCCACAATATCTTTCTCTGCAATAGTAGTAGCCTTTTTTGTTTAGTTGTTTGAAAACTTTGTTATTTTTCTAATTATAAAAGTTTATGGGTAATTATAAAAATGCAAATAATATAGAAATGCAGAGGTGAGAAATCAAAATTACTCTGATTGAATCCTAGACTGTAAAAAGAAAAAAATCCTATGATCATCTTTCATGCCTATATATAAAGATGTATTTTTAAGAATTTGATTGGCTCTTTCATAATTTACTTTTTCATTTATTTATTGATTTCAGATTGTTTTCAATTTTCTGTTACTAAAAAAAAACATATGCAGTAATCAAGCATCAATGACTTATAATCCTAGCTCCTGGGGAGGCAAAGATGGAGTAGATCTTGTTTCAAGGCTAGCCTGAACAAGAAGTTTCTGAGACCCCATTTCAAGCAACAGTTGGGCATAATGGTATTATCCGAAAGGCAATGGAATGTTATGGTTCAACTGACCTAAGCAGAAAATAAGACCCTATGTCAAAATAACTAAAACAAAAATGATTAGAGATATAGCTCAAGGGCAGAACACATGCCTAGCAAACATGAAGCACCAGTTTCATATCTCACACACACACACACACACACTCACTCACTCACTCACTCACTCAAGAAACAGCCATTTGGGAGTTTAAGGGGAGGCACAGAAGTGGAGGCACAAAGGGTAAACAAATGCAGCAGTGATACTCACTAGACACTATGTTGAAAATGAACTATACAACTTGTGGGTGGGAATAACTGGGAGAGAACACCAGAAGGGGTGTCATTGCCCAAAAAGAAATGTATTCTTTATTTGACTTACATAATTGTCTGTAACCCCTCTGCACCCCTTTATAATAACAATATAAAATTTTAATAGCCATCAATAAATACCCTGCATGTATTTTTATACATGTTTATAAAGGCAAGCATAGCTTGTTTTCAAATTGTGCTATGGTCATTACATTAAATTAGAAATATTAAGAAAATACTCTAAAAAGAGAATGTGGGTATCAGTATTATTAGTTCTGCTTTTTTCTGTTATATTGAAATAGCATGTTGGCATGGAATAGTACTTAATAATTGAAGTTCATCAGTTGTAACTCTGCTCCTTACAGATGACGGGCATAGCCTGGACTATGCCAACACCTGTAGCAGAAGCCGTCCCTGCTGCAGCAGGTCTGGGAAATGATCCTTCCATGATGAATTTGGAAAGAATTACAGACAAGCTGAAAACTGCTTTTCCACAACATACCAGGTATCTCAGCTTTTATTTAGTAGATACAGATTGTATTATACAGTTTCTTATAGCTATAATTGTGTCAATAAAATCTTTCAGAGAAACAATACACATACACAAAAACTACAGTTATTATGTTAATATTGTGTTACTATGGTTTGGTAAAATGTAATTTACTAAGAAGAGATAGTGTTCTAACATATATGGGAAATATCTTCTTTATTATTAGCCTTAAGTAATGGGAAAATAACTAAATTTGTTACTGGAAGTATAAGTAGTTGTAAATTTAACAGTTTTAATGCCACTAGCTATAATAACTACCTTAATAACCAAATACCAAAGTAAACATTTATTGTACGCTATAAGTTATGTTCAAACAGCGTAATTTTTAGTTTCCTAACCTTAATTTTACTTACAGTCCTTATAATTTTTTGTCAAAGAATATAGATATAAAAATTCAGAATTTTACTATGCTTTTCATACCCTGACTTTAGCAGAAAGATACTTAATTCTATACAAATGAAATTTCTTTCATCTCTACTCTTGCATCAAGAGTATAATTCAAGTTTTCTCTGTAATTTTCATTTGAAGACAATGCTTTTTATACCTTTTAAATTATGTTTTTTAAGTTTCCTAATAAGAAATAAGAAAATAGAACTGCCATAAGAAATAAGAAAATAGAACTGCCATAAGGATATTACAAATAGATAAATAGAAAATGACTTGTGAAAGAAAATTATTTTATCCTGATCTTCCTCATCAAAAATGTAGATGGAGCCAGGCACTAGTGGTTCATACTTGTAATCCTAGCAACTCAAGGCTGAGATCTGAAGATCATGATTTCAAGCCAGCCCTGTCAATACGCCAGAAGTGAATGTGTGACTCAAGTGGTAGAATACTCGTCTTGAGTGAACAAGCTAAGGGACAGTATACATGCCCTGAGTTCAAGCCCCAGTACTGGCACTCATACATACAAATAAAAATGTAAATGGAGACTCTGGAGCAGTGGACTTTGAAAAGTGGTAAGGCACAAGTTGACTAAAGTAATTACATAATAATTCTTGTCTAAGGAATACATATTTTAATCTTTTCTTTTCATCTTTATTTTTTGAATCCAAGTTTTATAAAAGCAAAACTATTAGCACTGAATAAGGAAGAATCCAGTAATAACTTAGGAATATTTTAGCCCTGAGGGAAATTTGAGAGATGTAATATTAAAACCTCAGTATATTAAAAACTAAACTTGATTTGCACATTTGAAAGTGAGTTCTCAAAAACAAAGTTTAAAAAAATAAAATTAGAATCTGGAAAGAAAATATATTACTCGTGTTACACATTGAACACAGTAGGAGTTACATTTGGTTTAAGATAAGTCAAGATGGAACTATAATCTTTTCTTTCCATTTTAGACTTTTATCTATAATGCTACATACCTATTTTGTATCTCATTTGGAGGACATATTTTCAAGGCAATGGGGAAAAATCACCATTCTTTTATAATCTCTTCCAGAAAAGAGCTTACAGATTCCTTACGAAAGTTGAAAGATACCAATGGAAAATCCTTATCTGGAATGACATTTGATGAAATTGTTTACAAGATTTCCCAATTAATTGATCCCAAGAAATCTCAGGTAAAAATGAAAGAAAAAAAACATATAAACAGCAACAATGAAGAAAACTGTATTTCTCAACTCTTACCTAATACATGGTCATTTTAATTATCTCCATGATGTTATAAAAATTAATAAGCTCTAATCATATTAGAATATTGGTTAGCAGTAAATAATTCAACAACTTCCACTTCAAAATGATAGAGGAAGTCTTTTTTGATCATTCTAAAATAAAAGTAATCCTTATGAAATTTTCTTTAGGTTACTTTGAATCATTGTAAATTAGAGCTTTTTTCCTAATAATCTGAAAAAATTAATTTTAATCAAAAGAACATGGAAATCATTGTTATCTTTAGCTCTGACAAATATTATCAACATCTTGTTTCAAGACTTAGCATAAATCCAATTTTTACCCTTTTGCTAATTTTCACTATATCCCACTATGTGCATTTCATCAGCTTATCCTGTTTTAGAATAGTTCTTAAAAATAAATACAATATTTTCATTCCAGAGTGAAGGAAAATCAGTGCCAAATGGTAATTGTGTTTCTCCCAGCCATTCTCCATCACAGCCTAGTGCTCCCCAAACCCCCAAACCAGCCTGGAGGCCACACAATTCACAAGATGCTTCTACATGGGAAGAAGCCAATAATTTGGTGAGATAAAAATTGTTGATTGTTTTGGGGAAAGCAAAGGAAAGGGTGACATTGTCTAGAAGGAAATGTTTTCATTACCTGACTTATGATAACTCCTCTGTACAATACCTTAATAATTACAATATTTTTAAATTGTTGATTGTTAATATTTATATTTGAGAAGAAAAAGTAAACTAAATTTATTCCTCTCCCCACTTAGGATGAGGAGGAGGAAGAAGAGGAGCCTTGTGTGATCTGCCATGAGAACCTATCTCCAGAAAACCTTTCAGTTTTGCCTTGTGCTCACAAATTCCACTCTCAGGTAAACCTTTTAAACTTGCCCTACTAGTATTTTCTATTAATTAGCTAAGCAAGATTTATACTACCTTATTTAATATCATATACATGTGTAATCATGCTATGATTTGTACTATGTCACAAATTCCAGTGGGTATAACTATACTTCACCTTCTGGATACCACCCAGAAACACACATTTTTCATTTATACAGATACAATTGTACTCTCAGATCTCTGTACATCACACAGGAGAAGAGACTAATTTGAGATTTTGGTTCTCTTGAATATAGGTATAAGAGAAATATTCATTAGTATTATAGTTTAGTTACAGAACTGGCAACAGAACTGCTATGATTCCTTCACTTGTCATGATTTTTACAGTCTCCTTGGTCTAATGATGACCTCTTATCATTATAAAACATAAGACTTACCTAGCAATCTGATCCATATTCCTGTACTTGCCTTTGAAGATTCGTAGGATTGATTTTTTTTATTTCTGTTTTATGTTTGGTTTTTCTGAGAATTAATTTTTTTAATGTTAGAAAAAATACAAAGCTGGCATATCATTTGTTTATTCTGGGCATTTTTGTCGATTAATTCTAATGTGCCTTCTGTGTGTTATTGATATACTATTACATTTCATGTTCTCTGTGGAGAGATGTAATTTAATACAGGAAAGATAATCTTAAACAAAAAAAGATTCTCAAGAAACAGAAGAACTGCCAAATCTTTTAAACCAAATTCATTAAACAATATTTCAAAGATACCTATGGTACCTCAAACAAAATTTTATTGTATCTCTTTGGCTCTGAAAAGTTATACACAAACTATCTAATCCCAAAAGATCTTCAAGAAAGATTTGTAGTCATCCAATCTTTCCATTGTAAGTCTTTAAGGTCTGATATAAATTTTAAAGATACCTTATTCTTAATTATTAATCAGCAAGTCACTTAACAGATAACGCATAGTTTAAAATAAATACTATTGTTACCATTGTAAATAATCTAGTTTGTCTTTTTTGAGATGTTTAACCTTAGAACACCACAAACGCTTCTTACAAAATATTAGTAATTTTTTTATGATCAGCTTTAACATTTTTCCATTATAAATAAGGGTGATGTATAATAAAATAAAGAGAATATAGCAAGTTTCCACAATATTTTTTTTTGTCTGTCCTGGGACTTGAACTCAGGATCTGGGTGCTATCTGTCAGCTTTTTTTGGCTCAAGGCTAGTACTTGCCACTTGAGCCACAACTCCAGTTCTGGCTTTTTTAGTAGTTAATAGGAGCTGAGTCTCGTGGGCTTTCCTACTTGGGCTGGTTTTGAACCATGGCCCTCAGATCTCAGCCTCCTGGGTAGCCCTGGGTAGCTTGGATTACAGGTGTGAGCCACCAGTACCCATTTCCTCAATCTGCTTTTTAAGAAGAATTGTATCATTTTAAAAACAGAAATCACGGGAAGACTCTGAGTAGAATAAATTAGTTGAAAGGTTGCAGTTACTGGTATATTGCTCAGCAAACCAGGAGCACGTGCCATGGTTGTTGCAGGTGGTTTGGCAATCCACTGGGTAAGGCTTTTAGATCCATCAGAAAACATGTAAGTTAATAACTCTGATATATAGAGTGACAGCTGCCTCTGCTAAGCTAAGTCTGAAACTCTGACATGAATCATTTTGCTCCTTAGTGCATTAGACCATGGCTGATGCAACAGGGGACATGCCCTACCTGTAGACTCCATGTCTTGCTACCAGAAGAATTCCCTGGTCAACCCAGCCGACAGTTGCCCAAGATCTGATACAACACAGCTGGCTATGTAAAGGAAGCTCAGTTTTCAGAATGGAATTTAGTTGAGCTTTTCATTTTTATGAGCTGATTGTATAACTGGTGGAAAGCACTGTGTTCTCCAATATTACGCTAATAAGGCTAGCCAAATAAGACAGTAGCCAAAGATATTAAGACAAGTCTTCAGGGCTTATAAACTGGATTGAAGGGGCTTAAAGAAATGGAATTTTAATAGTTACATTATATTTGTTTAGTGGGTTTTATTTTTCTTCTGTGAACATGATTCCTATTAGCATATTTCTTAGAATATCTTTTCTGGCAATTTTCCCCTTCTACTTGCCCCTTACTTTCTGTCAGTATACTACATTTTATTATCTGGAAATAAATTTAGGAAAAACAGAATAATAGAGAAAAGTAGGAAAGTTCCACAGATTTCAGTGTTTCTGTAATTTTTAAAACTATTAAATATAAATGAATTATTTAAATTGTATTTTTGTCTTCCCTATTCTTTTTTTGCTTTCTTAAATATGTGCCCATGAAGAGATTATGAGCTACTTGATGGTGGAGACCATGCAGTGGTATGCTGAAGCTGGCTTGTAATGGCTTGTGAGAGGTGATTGTTTAAGTTGCAGGTATTTTGCAAACCAGTTGTCCAATTATTGGTAGCTTGAGATCTGCCACAGTCGGGAGTGTTTATACCTTAGACATTGGTAAATACTGTAAGCAAATGCTTCTTTCAGTAGCTGGTTCTTAAACATTTACCAGCACACCACCAGACATTCTGTGTAGAATTAATATTCTCAGAATCAGAAATCAGGAACTAGTTTTTTTAAGTGTATGGGATATTAGTATATAAATTAAGTCTCTTGCTGAGTTGAATAATTGAAATTTTTATGTTTATCTGTAGATAATTCTCTTTGAACCTTAATAATTTGCATTTTGGATGGATATCTTTTCTGGCTTTAAAAGTTTCCAATTTCACCTAATTTTTTTGTGGGGAAGGAGGAAACTTATATGTACTTCATGCTTGTGACAAAATGGATTATCCAATGGGCTAAGCTTTATACCCATAGCTTGTCACTCAGAACTTTAATACTTAGAGGCAAAAAACCTACTTAAAAATAGCATTGTATAAATGTTGTTGTATATATGTGTTGTATATGTCTATTAACTTGAAAATTAAAATAATTCAGTTATAAGACAAATATTCCTCATTTCATATTCAAAATGTTAATTTCATTAACTTTTGGAAAAGAATAAAATGTTTTCTGATTCAGCAGCTATTTATCTGTATATTTTAGTGTAAATGTGTTTTGAAGTTACTTTGATCCTTATTTAAATTTTCTACTTCTATAATTGCATATTAAACTTTTTTCTGAATTGAAAACAGACTGAAAATGTAAAGGGCAATAATGGAAAGAAAAAGTAGCATTCATGTACATACATAAAATACCAAGAATATACCAGAATTCAAACGTACAGGGCAAACCTTTGATCATCAGCTTGCCTAGCAACCTAAAGTCGTGGTCATATAGCACATCACCTTGTAAAATTTGCTCATGTTCACAACTTGTTTCTTAGTTCATGTTTACAACTGTAATTTCATGTTTATGTGGAATAGAATAAATGTTTCTTAATTGAACAACTATTTGTGTCTTTCATCTTAAGTGTACCAGAAACTTCAAATCTCTGTTTCAGATGTCTATTTCTATTTATTTAGGCTAGATTAAAGCTTTTCTTATGAAGTTTCCTTCTCTCAGTCTTCCTAGGATTTAAGAGAGTTAAAGCCTTTACTGGATTGGGCTTTAGTTTAAAGGAATGTTTTGTCTAGTTTAAATTTCTATTCAGACCACTAAAACTTTCAGCAGTAAGGCTATTTCTGTTTCTGTTCGTTTGCTTATTAACTAATGTAGTACTTTTAATTTCTTTCAGATTATTTTGTTTTTACAGGCTAGCTAACTCTTTAGTGAAAGACATCCTATCATATACTTTAAATATGTTCAGCTTGCTGTATGTTGGTTATATTTCAATTAAGGGGCTTTAAAAGGTGAACACTAAATTCTCATAGCATGATCATTATATCCTGAGGGTATATTCACTAATGGAATAGAGACAAAGACAAATTTCACCACCATATTGTTGGTTAGATATAGGCTTCTCTACTTTTCTACTGATCTAAACAATGTAATAGAATGCCTTATATGTGACTCAGCTTCCATTAGGACAAGATTCCCAAGGTACTGACAAAAATAGAAGTGTTATTTAGGTTGCATTTTGAGAGGTTCAAAAGCATGGCACCTGGATTGATTCAATTCTGGTAAAGTGAGGGACAGGGGTGGAAGCGGTACATTTGAGGAACAAAATGGTCAATCTCTATTTAGTCAGAAAGCAGAAACGGAGGCCCCTGTATCCACTTTATCTCCCATGAAACCCCTGCTCATAGGATTAATACCAGGGGCTGGGAAGGTGGCTCATAGGTAGATACGCTTGCATGAGGCCCTGGGTTCAATTCCTCAGCACCACATAAATAGAAAAAGCCAGAAGTGGCACTGTGACTCAAGTGGTAGAGCATTAGCCTTGAGCTGAAGAGCTGAGGGACAGCTCCCAGGCCCAGAGTTCAGGCCCCATGACTGACCAAAACAAAACAAAACCAAAAAAAATTGTATACCAATATCATAACCTAGTATGATAACGTAAATATATAAACTGTTATATATAAAGACCTTTACATATAAGCCTTTTGGAGAACACTCAACATCCAAGCAATAGCATCTGACATGAAAGAGTACTGAGCAATAGGTATGCCTTTCTTCTTTACGCCACTGTTTCTTCACTGACTACATATTCACATCATGCTGTGAGGACTCTTTCTGAAACCTTGGGTCTAAGGGTAAAGGAGGTTTTCAGCTAGTGAGTCTCAAGGTTGACTATACATTTGCTTATGGTTTGAATATGAGCTATCATATTCATAGGTTCATGTATTGAATGAATGCTTGCTTCATAGCTGGTGATGTCATTTGGAGAGATGGAACTTTTTCTTTCTATTTTTTATTTGTTGGGGGCTTTTATTTGATTGGTTTTGTTATTTTTGGTGTTTTGTATTGGCATTTGAGCTCAGGGCTTTTTGCTTGCTAGGAAAATACCATTGAGTCATATCCCCTATCCCAGCTTCCCCAGGTTCTGGAAATTTTATATTCTGGAAGAAGTAGATTACTAGGGACAGGTTCTTGGGGCTGTATTTACCCCAGGCCCCTGATGTCCCTCTCCTACTTTCTGTCATCCTTGAGATCAGTAACCTGTGCACATGCTACAGGGCGTTCAGCCCAGAGGAAACAAAAACAAGAACTGTGGGCTGAAAAACCACTGCTCCCTTTAAGTTGTTTGTCAAGTTTTGTGTTACAGTGATGAAAGTCTGACAAGCAGTATTAGAATCACAAGAGGAGTCTGGGAAAAAAAATCCTCTGAAATGATACTTGGGTTCCTTTTTTTCTTTTGGTCAGTAGTGGAGTTTGAACTCAGTCTGGGCACCATCCCTCAGCAACTCAGCTCAAGGCTAGCATTGTACCACTTGAGCCACAGTGCCACTTCTGGTTTTCTGAGTGATTTATTGGAGTCTCTGGACTTTCCTGCCTGGTCTGTCTTTGAACCATGATCCTCAGATCTCAGCCTCCTGAGTACCTAGGATTACAGGCGTGAGTCATTGGCACCCGGAGGATTCTTTAATTTTTTTAATTTATTTATTAATTTTTTATTTTGTTATATATATTTATTTATTGTAAAAATGTTATACAGAGGGGTTACAGTTACATGAGTAGGGTACTGAGTACATTTTGTAGTGAGCATTGTTGCCTCCTCTGTTTTCCCCCCACCGTCACTTCCCTCCCCAATCCCCCTCCCCCCCCGCCCCCAGCCACACACACACATTGTAAAGTTCATTTTCAATATAGTGTCCTGTATATCTCGTTGTCGTCACAATGGGTCAGCCTGCATCCTCATTTAAGTGTTCCACAATATCCCTTCCCCTCCCCAAATTACAAAAATATATATACAAGATGCAGAACACCAGCATCAAATCCAGTGAAAACAGGGGTTATACCATGAAGGAAGAACATACAAAAGAAACAAAAAAATCACAGTGCATTGTAAGTACATTAAAAACACTAGCAAGAAAGGAAAAAAACCACTTGTATCCCTGTCTGGGGTACATTTGCTTAACATTATCTAATGTGGTCATATGTACATAGCCTGTGACCTTCTTTGCTTGTCCTAGACATGTACTAGTCATTGCAAACAAGGGAAACCATGGAACCTATGTTTCTTTGGGTCTGGCTTACTTCACTAATATAATTTTTTCCAAGTCTTCCCATTTCCTAACAAATGTCATTCTTTCTACTGAGGCATAGAATTCCATTGTGTGTGTGTGTGTCAAATGTCATTCTTTCTACTGAGGCATAGAATTCCATTGTGTGTGTGTGTGTGTGTGTGTGTGTGTGTGTGTACGTATCACATTTTCTTGATCCATTCTTCTACTGAGGGGCATCGGGGTTGGTTCCATATCTTATCTATGGTAAATAATTTAGTGTTGGTCCTCAATTTAGTGTTGAACTCAACTTCTGGGTGCTAGCTGTCCTTGAGCTTATTCTCAAGGTTATTGCTCTACCACTTGAGCCACAGCTTTACTTCCGGCTTTTTGGTATTTATTACACATGAGAGTCTGATAGTCTTTCCTGCTTAGGCAGGATCTGAACCAGACATGAGCCCCTGGCACCTGTCTGACACTTGGATTCTTGCCTAGAGATGACATAAATAGGTAATTATTTAAAAAGTGATGTCAACATGGGATACAGAATATGAGACACTGCTCTCATGTTGATCAAATTTTAACATCCATTGAATCACTGGTATTCTTGTTAAAATTCTAATTATAATTCAACAAATCTGAGGTAAGTTCTGATATTCTTAAATTTTTATCTCCCATCTGATGCTACTGTTAGTTTTGGGATGATAGTTTGCATAGAAAGTCTAAGCCACAGAGAACATCAAAATCACCCCAGTATCTGTTTAAAGCCAAGAGTTCCTAGGTCCTGCCCCTGAGATGGTCCCAGCTTCTGCCCTTTCTTATGCACATATATAAGGTGTACTTTGAAACCCAAAGATCTAGCCTGACTCTTTCCCCAAGAAGTAGTGTGCTCTGTCCTGATGTAGCTTTCCCTCAGGAAACCTCATTAGTGTGTGAATCATTTTCAACAGGAACATTTTCTGGTATGTAGGTTTGCTGTGCTGACTGGGGACTATAATCTGCCGTGTGAGTGGAGCATGACGATTTCATTAGCACATACCTCAGAACCTAGTATGGAGCAGCCTATGTGATGAATAGCGTCTCAGGTTCTACTTGAAGCATTATCATGTAATATATCAGTTTTATGTCAAATGAACTGATGGTTTTATGGCCTATCCATTCAGTTTGATAGGCCTCTTGTCATGATTTTTTTTAATATGGCCAGAGGGACTTTGTGGTGGTGATGACATAGTGATTTATAAGACTGACTTCATGCATCACCTACACATATGTAGATCAGAAATATTTCTTTCTGGGAAACAGTTGTCATTGCTATTCTGTGATAAAGAGGTGCATATTTAATGAGCAGACATTTGTCAAACAACCAATTTGAATTCACATTTTCTGATATCTATGACCAAGTAATTTGCATCATACCAAGATTCTCTCAAATAGAAGTTTACAGCAATCAAATTCACTACTTTAGACCTTCTGAACCTGGTCATACAGCCAGTAATGGGAAGACAAGCTCTATACTCTTCAGCCCTATTTCTCATATATTTTTAAAGAAAATACATTCTTTAAAACTACTGTTTATTTGCTTTCGTAAATTTTCTTCTTGTCAAAGAAATTACCTCCAATTTCAGTTGAAGGTACAGTCATGGTTCAAGTGGTAGAGTTCTCTCCTAACCATCAAGCATGATTCAACCATGGAACCACCAAATGAATAAAATAGAATAAAACAATTTCAGTTACAAAATTTATTTCTTTCCAAAGAGAAATGATTTGTTGATTTAAATATTTGATTTGCACACTTCCTATATTTGGAATCCTGAATATTTTTCCAAGTATTATAGAAAACAATAGTTTAGCAAACTTTTTTTTAAAAATCCAAGCACTGGTGGCTACTCAGGAGGCTGAGATCCAAGGATTATGGCTCAAAGCCAGCCTGGGCAGAAAGGTCCCTGTGAGACGCTTATCTCTAACCACTCAAAAACCAGAAGTGGCTCAAAGTGGTAGAACTTTAGCCTTGAGTAAAAGATCTCAGTGACAGCACCCAGGCCCTGAGTTCAAGCCCTATGGCCAACAACAAAAGGAAAAAGAAAAGAAAACTGCATTTCATTATAGATCCAACTTTTGTTGATACATAGCAGTGAATGAACAGGAAAGATATATTCTAAAATGTAGTAATGGTTTACTTGATGATATGCTTTTCATTTTCTTTTCTTTAAATTGTACCTCTTTATAAAATATTAAAACATTTTAATAGAAAGAAAAATATCAATAATAGGCAATGCTTAGAATCTGTAAAGGACAGACTATTTCAATTGTGAAAACTGACTGACAGCTAACTC